TACGTACCCCCGAGCCGTGCTCGATACGCCTCACCTGCCGTGCCGGCGTTAGTATGCCTGACCATAGAATCCTTGTAGCCGTTGGTACTCCCCACAGCTTCCCTGCCTTCTCGCTCGCTCTCCGCTCCACTCGCCGGCGGCCATGTCGGCGTTAAGGAGTGCGTGATCGGATAATCCTCGTAGCCGTTGGCACTCCGCACGGATTCCTTAGCTCACTTCTCGCCCACTCTCTGCTCCACTCGCCGTCCGTCGCAGTCGACGACTGCCGTTCGCGCCTCTCGGCTCTCCTGCCAGCGGCGCGCCCGTTCCTACACTCCCCTTCGCACCACCCCTAGTCAGGGTCTGCCCCGCGTCTGTCGGCGGGGTGATTTATCTATCTCCGACCCCCGTCTCCCTTTGCTCCGGTCACGTTCAGTGGCGCCCGGGCAGGGTCCTAACCTTCCATAGCCGCGTCGCCGCTATGAGTTGATTTGGGTTCCGGTGTCGGCCGTTTGCTCCGCTAAAATATTCAATAGTCGAACGTCGTAGGCTTGTATGATACGCAGAGAAGAGACAACCAAAGGGAGGGGGAATGGGCGAGGTAGAATGGAATATAGGGAAGGGGTGATTGGAATAACATCCCGATCAGGGAAGGGTCACGCGTCGGAAGGGCTAGGTCACGGGAGGGGTACTGTCGAGCTGGTGGCAGGTGTGGGGTTTGGCGACCTTGGCGACCGTCGGCCGGCGCGATATGTGGCCAGGCACACTTCCCCGCATCCCCAGAGGAGGGCAGGAAATCGGATTTAACCCCGATGAACTGCTTGTTGTAGGGTCGTTGGTAATTATGGCCGGAAGCGATGTTTATCGTGTCTAAGTAAGCAGCCGCCAATTTCAAGAGTGGAACTATTTCAGTGGGGTTATTCTAGCTCTCCCCCGTTCCGCGTTCTAGTTAACTCGGGGGTGGGAGGGGGGAGGGGGCTTTGTATCGCCCCAGCTGTTTCCTCGGGCTTCCTGTCCATATATGGAAATATCGTGTGGACTGTGGTAGCCCGCGCTTCATTGAATAGGGCTGAAATCGACAATGGTAGTACTTGGTAATGGGGTAGGCTACTGCTGAATTAATTTATGCAGCGTTTCAAATTTCAATCAGTTACGTCAGCGTTAGGCGCCTGCGTTTCCTTACGCTATCAGTTACACATTCTTTACACTCGTGTGTAAGCGTAAGTTTCAAACAATTTTAATCTGGGAGTTTCGGTACGGTACAGTTTCGTGGTACTGCAACATTAGCTCTCAAGTTCCAAAAAGCGCGGTGGAGTGTTGGGGAACAAAGGCTGCTGGCGAACCGCGCCGTCTTACGTAAGCGGCTGTGCGGCGGCGGCTGCCTTGGTCAATAGTCTGTCTGTCGGCTCTGTCGGCTCGATGCTGGGAGTAGGTATTTGTGTCGCCGGCGGGTTTCTCTCCCGGCCCAGTCGGTCGGATGGGCGACCATATTGATTCATTGTCTGTCGCGCGCGCCGCCGTCTCCCGGGGCGCCGCCGACCGGAGAAATACAGACAGGATCGGAAGGAGAGCTCCGGTGCAGCCAGCCGGCACCCGGCGCCGTCAGACGGAGAGAATTTCCCATACCGAGTCCCACGGACGGCAGCTATCTCTGCATTCATTGGTAATGCGGTCGGCGGTAATTCACCGGGCGAATTCGCCGTCATTGAAACACTGGCGGTGGTGTAAATAGAACCAACGGAACGGAATGTGGAAAGTAAGGCAGCGTTGAGTTTTTATGAGGCTGTAGTAGCGCTGAGGTCAGTAGTGGACCATTGTTACATTGCCCTGCCACCGGCAGGGTTGTTGATTATCGATCGGAGGCTTTTATAGCTCCGCGGCCGTGGCGTGCGTCACACAGCCTGTCCAGTGTCCGGCTCCTGAGAGGGATAGAGGGGAGGAGGGAGAGAGGAGAGCAGACGCCGACCGCTGACCACTCCCCCTCCCCTCCCCTCTCCTCCCGGGCTGCTCCGAGTTGGTGGCGCGCTCACCGCCTGGCTCGGTTTTCGCCGCGTCACCAGATAGATTGCAGCCGTCCTAGGCCCTTCTTACCACTTAGTGGCGCGACCGCGCCGGTCGCCGACATAGGCCCTGCTTGCGCGCGGCCATCGATTGGCGGGTGCCGGGGCAGACGCTGGTCGCGATGTACTGATTTCGTCACCGGCCAGGACGAGGCGCGCTCGGAGGGGAGGGGGGGGGGGGGTGCGGGACGGCAGGCCATTGTCTGGTCGGTGGTTGGTGGCAGTAGGTATTGGCCGGCGGGCGGTATGTCATGGATGAAGATGGCGCCACGCCGCCCGCCGCGCCGACCCAGGAACTGGTTTTGCCGGCAGCCGCGGCGGCGGCAGCGGTCGTGTACCCGAACCCCGCCGCTGAAGGTTGCTGACGACCAGTGACGCCGGTATTACGCAGCGATTTGTAATGCAATGTGAGCGCGTATTTCACGCTATTAGAATCCCACGGGCCACGACTAACTAATCTCGCGCCGTCGACCGTAAGTCGGCGCCATTCCAACCGTTCAAGATTGACATTCAATCCCTTCCTCCGCTCCAACTCCATCTAATCTTGTTATCCCCCGTCATTAGCCCTAATTCCAACTGCCCGATCCCACCACCGGCCGGTCTCTCGGTCCCCCAGTTCATCGACACTCGGCTGACCTTGCCAGCAGACCCAATAGAGGGTCCGTCGATAACCGTCGGCCCTCCCCGGCGACCCGCATTGCGGCTCGATATTCCCCCTCCCCTCTCTCTCCCCCAGCCTTCCCAATGGTAGCTGCGGTGACGGCAGCGGCGGCGGTGACGCCCTGTATGACAGGCGGGCGGGCCGGGCGGCGGCGTCATCGTGCGGCGGGGGTTCCCACGGGCCCTGTACTTCTCCCACGAACGGCGCGCCCCCGCCGGCCGGCTGGGAACCAACTGAGCCGTTCTCCCAGGCTGCGCCTGGGGAGGAAGGGGAGGGGGGAGGCAGGTGGCAAACCCAGTCCGCCGCCCGGTAACGGTTTAAAAGCCGGTGTGGTCGCGGACTGATAACGATAATGATGGGATAACCAATACTGAGTCATACCCGACTCCAACTCACGAGTTGTTCGTGAGTTTAACCCGCGCACCGACGGGGGGGGGCGGATATCCGCCCCCCCTGAGGTTACGCGAAATTTGGTATGACTATTCCCTCATCAATTTTACACATGGTGTGCAAGTTTGAACCTCCTACCTTTTAAGGTCAGGTCACCAGGTCACTTTGAATGACCCAACCTCAAGTCACTTTTTTGCAACTTTGTCACCGTGCCAGAGCTACAGTAGATGTCGAAGGCCTTTGAAAGTCGCAGGATGTTATAAGGTCATTAGTAGCTACAATTTGTATATCTCGGAATTTTGATATCGGTGACCTAAGGTCAGGTCAATTTCGCGACCTCCCCATTATAAGTCAATGGGAGAAAAATCAACTCCCTATTTTTACCACTAAAACGGGTCGGAATGGCCCCATATACCATACATGACTTCATATACGATCAACCTTCACTACCTTGAGGTCTGTTTTGCTGTTAAGCAGCTGTGAGGTCATGTGACGTCATCAAAGGTCACCAAAGGTTTTTGGCCAATAACTCCGTACAGGAACAAGATACAGCCGTGTGGATGGTCTCATTGTGTTCAGCTCGTCAAGACGCATCGAATGATATACATGATGACCTCGAGGTCACGTGACCTGAGGTCAACCTTTGACCTTGACCTTTCGAGGTCAACATATATATCATTCGATGCGGATTGACGAGAGGATCACGATGATGCCCTTAGTTTGCTCCTATCTTGACTAATTCGAAAGTTATTCGAGAAAAACTCTCTCCATATCTAGCGCCGCCATTTTGCATTTTTCGACCCCTGTGACGTCATCTTTGACCTGACCTGAAAATGACCTTAGTAAAAATTGTAGATCTTGACCGTGCATATCCGATGCCGTTTACCGCTTGTCGCTATCTTACTTCGTTCTCGAGATCTCAGGGGGGGGCGGTCATCCGCCCCCCCCCCCCCGTCGGTGCGAAGTTGGCGCAGACCCCCGTCGGTGCGCGGGTTAATCTACTGGCGACTGGCCCAACAATCAACAACGCCTTGTCTCGATTGACCGGTTATCTGAATGTGTTGGAGGTCGATTGGTGATCCCGGCCTGGTGTCTGGTTGTGATCGGCGCGGCGGTATTGGTGTTTGTGGTGCAGCTGGAATTCGCACGATCTCCCCAACAAAGGAATGCAGTGTTGTATGGCGTTGGCTGCAGTATTGTACGGAGTGTGCTATCAACCGAGGTCAGCGGGTCCGCGCGACAGGGTGTGCCGATGGGGGTTCCCTGATAGTGGAGGGTTACGAGTCACATCACGGGCTCCCCTCTCCTCCCCGCCGAGTCCGTACTCCGCTCAGAGTCCGCGCGGAACGTCCGGCGGACACGGCGCGGGTTTCCCTGTCAGCCGTGCGGCTACAGGAAATCCGTGCCGTGCGGCGGCGAACTGGAACGGACTGTGCCGAGAACCGCCGCGTGCGGACCGAGCCCGAGCGAGGCGTGACGGAGGCATTTCGACACTGTCCTCAGTTCAGTCTGCCTCGAGAGGGGAGGGGTGGGGAGGGGCGGTGGAGCGAGTCGGGCAGGGTGACGGGGCAGTCGGAGTGACCTTGTAGCTAGGCGGGCGACTCTGACCGGTACTGACCAACGGTCGGCGAGCGGTTGGAGTCGATAGGCGGCTGTCGGTGTGCGGTCGTTTGTTTGGCGCTGCGAATCATGCGGTGATTATCAAACTGATCGGGGAACCCTGTGTGGGATTTGGGAATCCCGTATTTGGAACTTTATTAAATAGATGATCAAGGTTTCTCGAAGTGTGTCCTCTTTTGTCCCGTGCCTAGTTTATGGCGTAAATATCAGGCTAGCATGTCCACCGTTTCCCACCCCTCTGCGTCGCTGTCGAGCCCACTGACTGACGGTATGTGTGCGCCTGTTTGCAGGCGGCGGCCGAGCTCGGCATTCACGTGTGTAACGTGCCCGGCTACTCAGTGGAGGAGGTGGCCGACTCGACCATGTGTATGATCCTGAACCTCTACCGGCGCACCTACTGGCTGGCGCGCATGGTGGCAGAAGACAAAAAGTTCATGGGACCAGACGCGGTGAGTGCTCTAGGGATGTTTTTTTCGGCGGATGGGGGAGGTGAAAGGCGGCAGGGAATTCGATATGTGAGATGGGGATGTGGCACCATGCCGCTTTGGGGGACGTATGTGCGGAAGCGCGGCAGTGTACTGACTTCTGAGATATTTGAAATGAGGATGTGGACTGCAGGGCAAGTTCAATGAGAGATAGCAGGTGAGGAGGTGAACTTGAGGTAACACGTATGCGGAATGGCAGTTCTGCCTGATTTCCTTGTAAACTAATGTGCCGTGAGGCAGCATTCGCAGCGTGTATCGAACTAGAAAGAGCATTGCTCACTGCTGATGCAAGGCACATTTTAACTGCGTTCAAAAGACCGAGGCATTATTCCTTTGTCCGGGCCCCTTGGGCTGAACGCAGTAGTCGGGCACTTTTTATCGAAGCTTATAAGTGCAGTTTGTTTTGTTTGGAGCTCATTTTGTGAACGCTTTGTGGATTTATTCATCGAAGTTGGCATTTGTTTTCCATGGCCGTGATCTGATCACCCTTGCTTGACTTCACTTCCCGCTTCTCGCTTTATCGGGCAGAGCGATTCCTGGATTTGGTCCGCTTCATGTGTATCGCCGGTAACTAGTTCCTTGTGGGCCGCTGGGGCCACCCAGTACCTAGATCGAAAGTCAGCAAAAACAGCACTCATGCTGCGATGATATATACAGTACTGAACCACCTACCAAATATTAGATAATAAGTAATGCTATTATCTACACTACTCTACACGATTTACCCTTAGCTCGTTCACGATTAGGTACTTACCTTAGCCTGCCTTCCTGACGGCCCTCGCCCCGCTGGCAGGCTCTGTGGCCTCTGTGTAGCCGATACAAATCGCGCTGTGTTGTAGCACTTGTTACTGCTGTCGCCGTCGCGTTCCACACGCTCGTTTCCCGGGTGACGAGCACACCTGCCCCCTCCCCTCCCCTCCCCTCCCCCGGGAACACCTGTTTGGAGCCGTGGAGCGCGGCCATATTGGTCCACTGACCCCCCCCCCCCCATCCCCAGTCCGTGGGCGGAGGGAGGGGGAGGCGATCAATAGGTGACTCGGCCGTCGGCGGACAAGGGAAGAGGGTTGGGGGGGGGGGGAGGGGTTGAGGGTCGGGACAAGCGAACGACACACTAGCGTCGAGGGTGACTCGACGAAACGGGACAACCTCAGTGAGGCGGGACATGGGAACTTATCTCCTAAACGGCATATGGGAGCAATACGGGATTGGCCCACTAGCATGGGAATAACTCTAACGGTGCGGGAGAACATCCTTTCACACACCGTTCCGTGCTTCTATCCTCAGGATACTGAAATCCTTCTCCTCCACGCCGCAACCCCCTTCCGGGCTGGACAGGCAACTTTATCTCATGCGGGCTGCTCCCTTGGAGCGGCACCGCTGCTCCCGAGGGAGCGCACCCCGTAGCCGGGTGCAGTGAGTGCCTTGGGGCTGGGTGGCCTGTCCTCTGGACGGGCTCAGCCCCGGCGACTCACTAGGGTGCCTGCCCAGACCAATGTCTCCCCCTAATTCCTATCATCCTTCCGGCTCTGCAATGGTCTTGACGACCGAAAGGGCCTAACCCAACAAAACAAACAAAACAAACAAACATCCTTTCACCCTTTTATTGCATCTTTCCTTGATCCAGGGGACCAGCCTGACCCACGCACATTATCAATCGGCACCCGATCATTGTTATTGGTCAACCTAACGGACTCGAAATAGCCGTACTATCACGTAATAACGGACGGACGTTAGTTCTAGCAGCCTCCGACTCGTGGCTCATGGTGGCTGGTGCCACATCACGACGTTGTTTTGCCATAGTTTTTTGTCGTCGAAATCGACGCGGCAACGGATTACACTCGAACTCAATGGAACTGCTCTCACAGTCAATGCACTGCTGTGTACAGAAGTCTGATGACATTGGTCGTCGATTTAAGTGGTTCATTAATTGTTGTTCATTGACTGTCTGTTGATATGGGTTTATGAACCGCACGCCACACCTTCACTCTGTTTGCCGTTTTATATTTAAATTTGAGCGTCTGCACGCTCCAATGATCAGGTGCGGGAAGGGATTTCAATTTTCACCCAGTGCAGTGTGGTACGGTTATTGATATCCCAGACTGTTTTCTCTCTAACTTGCCAGCAGGTATACCTAAACATACTCCGCTTTAATTATATTCACCAGTCTGTACAGGGTGTCCGGAAAGTCCTGGCGCTTCTTTTGGACGCCGTCTAACGCGCGCTGTGATTATTGGACATTCAGCCAATCACCACAGACATGACCACTCGTTGACCGCTCAGCTAGGGGTCGTGTATATTTGACCCTGGAATCGTGTTTAGTGATGGGTAAATGGGCAAAGATGCGCCTTGTCGCTGAATGCCTGCGCGCGGCGGCGGGGTGCGACTTGAACGAGGCGCGAGTTGCAGCGCGATGCGGCGTTTTTCGATGAATGGTTTAGCAGGTAAAGGTTTATTTCGACTCGGAAATTCCTTAGAAAATATCCTCAGGCCGGTACGACCGCGGTATGTCAAGACTGCCGAAAACGGAGCGGCATTTCAGCGCGGCAATCGAAGAAAGTGCGGGGGTCTGATGGACACAAATGTCCCATCATCTTCGTCAATGTCGAATAAATGAATAACAGGCTGGTCCACGAGGGGTTCCTGGACAGCCACATCAACCCGAGGGTCAAGACGACTTGCCCTAAGGGTCACTTCGCATTTCAACAGCACAGAACGCCCACCGACAACGCTGCTGCCGTTCAAGCTCAACTGACAGAGGATCTTGCCGGGTCAGATCACCGTGGCGAAATGAGATTAGGCAGCCTTATTCTCCTAACCTGACCCGCTCGACTAAGGCGTGCTAAGCGTTTTGTAGAACAGGATCTAGGCCATTTATCACCCCAACCTGGAGTCGCTGAAGAATCGCATCATGACAGCATGGGAGGACAGGAAATGTCCTGCATAGTTAAAACCCGCAGGCGCTTCCTCCCCTACGTCGAGGCCGTCGTCGGCGCCGGCGATGGTTACATTGAATGAGCACGTAGCAGAAGCATGTCGCTTGGTGTCCCTGGTCATTGTTTTGATCCATTGATGAGTATCTATGAACCAATGGCATTTGTTTAAGAAAATGTTGAAAAGCGCCAGAACTTTCCGGACACCCTGTATAATGAAATACACTTTGATAGTTTAACTAGGCTAGAAATATACACGGCAACTTTGCATGCTTTCGCCAAAGTAGTCCGAACAAAAACAACGACAACTTCAGGAAAACAATTTTTTATCTTTTTTGCCTCGGATGAGCTACATCGTAACAACAAATTTATCTGCAGCACCAACTTGGTCAGCTATGAGTGTGCACAATTCACCCTTTCAGTTCGACTGTGTCTCAGCTCTCGCGCCTGGTGCCCTTTGTTATCTGGAATAGCTGTGGAATGAGGCCATAAACTGAGTGTCTACCCGGCGCGGCGAGGGGCGGCGCCGCTTATCATACGGCTTTACGGCGCTCTCCCAGACAGAGTGTGGGCGAATACGGACGGCAGTAGACCCCCCCCCCTCCGGCTAGGGTGGTGGTGGGCGTGGCCGGGGAGATGGGCGTTTCTATTTCCACAGGGCTTCGATGACGGCTTGGTGTTTGGTTTGTTGAAAGTCCCAAGTTTTGTTTTATTTTATTATATTTTATTTTTTTACCTGGGTATTCCTCGCATTTCTCAAATGAAGGCACCCACCTATGAAGTATGACAGAAATCTCTGCACGTCGAGCTGGAGTTTTTTGGGGTCGAGAGCGGAGGGAGGGGAGGGGAGGTCCGCTGGTGCGGCGGGACGCGCCGCCCGACTCCAACTTTACTGTTTGTAGTGTCTTCGCCGCCTGCGGAAACTTGCCATTAAAACTCTGCCCACTTTGATTACCGAACTTGGCTCAACTATTATTTTCGATAACTTCCGAGCAAACTGCCTGTGCAGTTGTCGAAGTTTTAAGGCCAGCTAACTTGTGTAATTTCAAGTTGTCTGCTTTCGGCGAAAGTTTGGCCGGGATCGAATGGGAATAACTCTGGGCGCCGTGGAAGTTGGCGGCGCCTGGGGAGCGCCGGACCGGGCCGCCGGCACCGCGCTGCCGTTGACGCCCAGCACTGGATGAAACTCGGGGCGGCGCTATCGAATTACCGGTGACCTGCCGGGCCCGGTGGGCCCTCCACGACAGCAGCAGTGCCGCCGAATGCCATGGGTTGGAGGTCGGGCGCGTTGGTGAGGGAAGGGCTCAAACTTCAAAGCTGGCTGGGAGTGGCGCCCCGCACAAAATGCCTTCACGAACTAGGATGGTGTTGAGTTTCATGCATGGTGCATTCAAGGATGTGGTTTTGCTGCTTTACGGTTGGTGGATCATGTTGCAAGCATACTATAATGCGATTTTCATACGCCAGCAGCAATCTGAAGTTGTGGAAAACCTGTCTTGTTATTACAAAGACCAAGTTTTAGCAGTGCTGTAGACCGCAATGTTTACCTTTGAAGCTTGAAAGTGTTTATCTTGGCAACTTTAGTGCTTTGATAATTATTCATCATGGATTGGAAACAATATTACCGATTCCAAGTAATAAATGGGTATTGCCAATCGATTTTATGTGCATTATTAGCTATAATAACTGGTCCCAGGAGAAATAGGTCCCCTATAGGGGACCTAATAGGCATCTAAGACGAAATAGTCAACTTTTCTCTGCTGATGACCACACACTATGTTCTTGAATTCCCCTCTCAAGCTTTGCTGAGGTGAGCCCCTCCCCTGCTCAGCCCTCCTCAGCTCCCTCCACTCCTGCCCCCACCGTGACCGGTGACCCCGTCTGACCCACCTCTGACCCAGCTCTGACCCAGCTCTGACCCACCTCTGACCCACCTCTGACCCACCTCTGACCCACCTCTGACCCACCTCTGACCCACTGTCTGACCTCTGACAGATCCGAGACGCGGCGAACGGCTCAGCGCGGATCCGGGGCGACACGCTGGGTATCGTTGGCCTCGGCAAGATCGGTCAGGCGGTGGCGCTGCGGGCCAAGGCGTTCGGGTTCGCCGTCTACTTCTACGACCCGTACATCCAGGACGGCATCGACCGGGCGCTGGGCATCACGCGCGTCTTCACACTCCAGGTGAGAGACGGTGGGGGTGGTGAGAGGTGGTTGGAAGAAGAAAGAGGCGGAGGGAGATGGGACTGGCAAAGGGCGTAGGCGAATGGGACGAAGACGGGAGATGGGGTAAAGCTGATAAAGGGAGGAAGGTGTAGAGGTGAGGGATGTGGAACGAAGGTAGGATTTTTAGGTATATGGAGACGAGGCGGCTGAGCAGGAGCTAAGGACGTGCAGGCACGGTGGAGTTGTTGCCGACAGTAGCGGCGGCAGAGACTCGTATAGGGAGTGGGTGTGGAGGCTGAGAAGACCTTGCTCTTTGGTCGAGGTCGCTCCGTTGATCCGGCCGCGGGAGGTATGCGATGAAGGTTTTATCAGTTATCGATACTGGGTGCCGATGTCGAGACTCGAGTGGCTGGTCGGAGGGTCAGCCAGCCGTCCTTGCTGAAGTTTGCACTCTCTAGTTGATAGGAGTGAGGTAAAGTGCGGTCCGCGCGCTATCGTAGACTGAGCCGTACCGGCACTTATGTTATTAGAGGTTGCCAGAGGTTACCAAGTACCCTGTTTGCAAAGCAGCTTGGTTGCTGGGATGATCCCCGGCTAAAAGTGGCGTCCAAAGCTGCTGTCAAAACTCCACCTAGTGCCGGGAAGTTTGTCCAGACCACTGGTGTATTCTCGGCTCAGGGACTCGGGGCAGCGAGGGGCGGTGATCTCGGGACCTGGGCCCTCCTTCTTGCTCCCTGCATAACCGTCAACCCAGCCTTTATCAGGTGTTGGAATGATTCGCGCTGCGGAAAGCAGTCACCCCGGGCCGCGTGATTTTGGGATTAGTTGTGACTGGAGTTCAGAGGTCGAACCGGGTCGGGACCGGTGGTGGGCCGGAAGGTCGCAGCTTCTGACGAGTTTCCGTTGTTTGAGTGACGAAAACCCGGCTGTGACCTTTGCCAGCTGAACTTGAAAGAGTTGTCCGCCCCCGCAGGTTTCCCTCTCATGACGTGACGTATTCCAATGGAGACCTTTCTGGATTCCGTGGATATTATAATTCCGTGGATACCCTTCATTTCCAAGGGCGCCCTCCCCTTCCATGGGCGCTCTCTTCTCCCCTCTCTCACTCGTGTCGATGTGTCAGTGTCGGACGGCCTTGCCACGCCGGCCGCCTCGCTCAGCAGCGCTCCCGTCCGGCCGACCCGGTATTGATCGGATCAAAGGTCACATGGGCGCCGGCCAGGTCACCGGGTCAGCTGCGCTCTCCGTTGGCAGAGCGCCGGAGCAGGGCGGGCAGAGGGGCGGGGTGATATCGCGACCGTTCTCCGTCTCTGTCGAGCCCGTAACGAGCCGGCGCCGCTCGTCCCGGCCAGAGGTGACGGCGGGGGGGGGGGGGGGGACTTCCGGCCGGCCCTGCGACGGAGCGCCGCCCGGGGGAGGGGGGGGGGCTGACACTGCAGAGGAGCGGGGGGCGGGGAATGGTGTGGAATGGCGGGCGGGTGATGGGAGGGGAGGGGTGGGCTGATGGGGAGAGGAGCTGCTGACGTCAGCCGCAGTCTGGGTGGGCGTTACGGAGGGGAGGGGTCGGTGGAAGGGAGGGGTCCCACCAGCCGCTGTGTAGAGCAGACTGGGTATGGGTAGGCGGTCCGCAGCAGCAACTCCGCTACTGGTGCCGGCCGGGCGCGGTCCGGGCTGGTCTGACGGACCGGGAGGCTGTGAGTGATGTCCCCCTGTCAGGACCAGCCCCTCCCCCTGTGATGACGAGAGGGGGGCACTGACTGGTCCCCCGCCCTGCCAAGGGGAGGAGCTCGATCGATACTGCTGATGATCTCGGCTGGGAAAGGGGACGGGGATGTCGCCAGACGCCGGGTGCATACACGGTCCATGATGACTGCTGTGTCAATGTTCAATGCCCCAGCTCTGCTGGGTGAAGTGACGACTGGACTGGGCTGGGAGGGATGAATGGGCGGGGAGAGCAGGGAGGGGTTGTAAACCTGTGTTGATGTATGTATGGTAGATGCACCAGTATCGCAATGAATATCAATCAGCTTGCTCTCGAATGCTGAACAGTGTGGCACGAGTTCTAACACATGTTTGAGTTCCCCTCGTCTGGCGTGTTTACATTTCCGCTCGGTGGCTCCACATCCACTGCGTCGTTCGTACTTCCCCGTATGCACGTCTCCCGTTGTGTGGCTGCTCTGACCGGTGTTTGTATGTCTGTGTGTGTTACAGGAGCTTCTGTACCAGTCAGACTGTGTCACCCTTCACTGCTCACTCAACGAGCACAACCACAGGCTCATCAACGACTTCACCATCAAGCAGATGAGGCCAGGTGAGACTGATACGCAGCTGTGGTCCTTAGTCCTTACCCATTCTCTGAAACCAATCTGTGAGGCTTCGCTGCTGGGCTTGGGTTTCTGTGTTAAATTGTATGGCAACATTTTTTATATAGCTTCGCCCCAGAGCTGACTCGAGTGACCACACTGACCAGGGCTGGACGGCTGTGTAGTGTGTGTGTGTGTGTGTGTGTGTCGTGGGAGGGGGGGAGGAGTTGGTGGGGTAACTGGGGAGGGGATGTCGGCTGGTCTGCGCCCAGCTACTCGACCAGATGTGTTTTTGTCGCTGTGAGCTTCCGGCCTTCTGCGAACCGACTGATAAACAGTGGAGCAGCCCGTCTGGGTCGCGCGCGTGTGTCGCTGCGGCTGAGAGGGGAGAGGGAGGGAGGAGAGAGAGAGAGAGAGAGAGAGAGAGAGAGAGAGAGAGAGAGAGAGAGAGAGAGAGAGAGAGAGAGAGGGAGAGAGGGTTACTGCCGGCACAGGAAGCGGTGTCGGTCAGACTGCAGGGACTGAGGGAACGTTCTGACGGCTGGGCGTGTTTGATAAATGAAGTTTGAAGGGGTGGAGTCCAATTAGGATCAGCTGAAAGCTGAACGAACGTCCTCAGCACTGTAGATAAATAAGAACCGCCACCCTGTGCCGGTTACGTGGTGCTGATTTGGTTTGTTTGGCCCGTTTTTACTGGTCTGGGTTATTTCAGTGCGAGTTTGGTTGTGACTGTGGAACGGCAAGGACTGTGACCTAGTTCGATTATGGATTTGTGAGGCTGCTATGTTTTGTCCCTTGTGTAAATACGCTGGTGTGTGAAGATGAATGAATGAAGGCAGAATCTGTTTGTCATGGTCGAACTCAATGCTCAATATCACTGCTTGTGCTGTGATGCTAGTAAACCCTTTTCACCATTCTAAAGCTGGTTGATGGTGATCCTAGTCGACTAACTCAGTCTGAACTCGTATGACATGTTTAATCTCCGGACTCGGTGACCCTTTAGACTGTTATCCCGTCGTGACCTGTCCGACCCCCTGAGTTGACCTCTGACCTCCTGCTCGCCCCACACAGGCGCGTTCCTGGTGAACACAGCGCGCGGCGGCCTGGTGGACGAAGAGGCCCTGGCTGCGGCGCTCAAAGAGGGACGGATCCGAGCCGCCGCGCTGGACGTGCACACCAACGAGCCCAACAACATCTTCCTTGGTAAGGATGCCACGCGCTGCGGGGAGAGGGCAGTGGGGTGTTGCGCTTTAGCGGTTATTATATGGATATTTTATGGTATTTTGTCATGCCCATTGCGCTAGAGGTAACTTTGCACATATTCATCTACATTGTCGCGCTCATGAATATCTGAGTCACCTTTCAACGTTGACCAAGTGTAAAGGAATGGTCATTGATTGCTCAGGATAGATCTCCAGTCAGCTCACCGACCCACAACTGCAATTTACCACGCATGTGCCGACTGTCTGCCTGGTGTAATAAAACCACAACCCTTCACCATCCTAGACCATCGCTCAAACAATATCTGCCCTCTCCGCGCCTGGCCGTTCCCCGGTCCACCAGTGACAGTACCCGTCCGCGCCACGCGCCGGCTGACACGGCGGTACACCCTCAGTGCCGCCGGGTGGATCCAAACACTGGGCAGCCATTGCGCCGGGCAGGCGGGGCGGGTGTCTTACGTCAACTGGAGGTCGCCCTGAGGGGAGGGGAGGGGAGAGGGAGTGTCCCGCCGCTGCGCTGGGAGGAGGGGGAGGAGGGGTCCGCCCCCTGAGCGCTGCAAGCGGTGCGAGCTGGCTCTGTGACGTAGTATGACCACCGGTCAGGCGCAGTGGCTATTGTCGGGTCGAGCTGGGGCTGTGGAGAGCGGGTTTACCGGACTGTGCGGGGGCTGGTTGACTATGTTGGGGAGGAGTTGGGGTGAGGTAGTGCTGGAGATTGTGGTGCGGGGACGGGAGTGGGCCGGGCTGGGGGAGGTGACGCCCCGAAGTGGGACCGTCAGTGGTCACTATGGACATTTCGTTTCCTTAAACGGTCGTCGCTGAACCTAGTGTGGACTGGGCCACCGTTACTGTTCTGGCAGACGAGTGGGGCTTGTGGCTTGGCTGTGTGTAATACTGACAACAGCGACGGCCACAGATTCAAAACATGGAACGACGAGGACAATGACGCACACACTACGGCCTGTATCTCCGGTGATGTTTCAAATTTCCTCACGGCTCACACCTCACAGTCCACAGCCACACCTCCCTCCCCTGAACTCGTCTCACTCCCCCTCCCCTCTCTCACGGCAGGTCCGCTGAAGGAGGTAAAGAACACCATTATCGCCACGCCGCACGCCTCGTACTACTCAGAGGCGTCGTTCAGCGAACTGCGCGAGATGGCGGCCACAGAGATCCGGCGCTACATCGTCGGACACAACCTGCGCAACTGTGTCAACAAGGAGTACCTGAAGATGGCCTCGTACGGCGACGGCCTGAACGGCGCCGGCGCGCCCGGCCTGCCGGCGCCCGGCGCTCCCAGCAGCTACTACCCAGCCCAGATGCAGCGGGGGGTGAGTGCCGTGACCGGGGATGGTGACTAGACCTGCTGACCTGACCCGGCCTGACCTGACCTGACCCACACCGCCGCTGCGCGGGCCGGGACGAGAGGTGCGATTTGTAACGAGAGGTGGACTGTAGTCACGATGTGTCGGTATGTGGCCATCTGCTGGTTTAATAATTCCCGTTACAAGTCGCCAGTCCCGCGTCCCTGCCTCGCGCGGCGGCCTGCGCTCGCTAGCCGCGGCAGCTAATCGCCTGGGAAGTCAGCGCCGAGGTGAAGCGATACAAAATACCACTTATTTACAGCTCTTGACAACATTTGGACCGATAATCCCACAAAGAATTGCCGGAGAATTGCCTGACGTAACCTTGCTTTCTCATTTTTTTTTTTTTTTTGTAACACGTCTCTGGCTTTTGTTTTGCCGTTTGTGGTCCGCCGTTCGCTTCACCTCGGCTCTAACCGCCGCTTGCTGGGGCCGCTTCACCAAGAACAGCAACAGAATACGCACATTTTTAGACGCGTGCCTCATGTTTTTACCCTCATGATTTGGTTTCTGCGTGCTAATTAATAATTCATTGGTTCGTTAATATGTATCGTTAGTCATTTGATATCCTCCGTGTTCGAGCTTGCGGTAAAAACTGCGCCGACTGTGGGCTGTTGCCGTGCCATTTGTGCCCGGCGGCTCGGGCGGCCGTGTCTGGAAGTGTGCGTAGCTGGCGCCGTCTCTCTGGTGTGGTCCGCGCTCGGGGACGGCCGCCGCCGCTGACTGCCGCCCCGGTGTGCCCCTCCCCCTGTTCCAGATGGGTGTGGCGGCGCACTCGACCTCCGCGCACGACGCCGCGTCGCTGTCCGTACCGTCCTCCCTTCCCCACCACCTCCCCACCGCGCAAGTGAGTACGGTCTCCGGCCGTCCGTGCCTGCCTGACCCCGACCCACCGAGCCCGGCACCGGCGCACCCGCCAACGCCTCAGCCACGCACGGCCGGCCCAGCGGACCGCTTGATGTGAAATCTGTGTGCTCACTCCCGACTCGGTGGCTGGCATGCGAGGTTGAAGTTTTCGGGCCAAATTTTCGATCGATTGTGCCGGTGTTTTGCTGTTTCTCCGTCTCCTTCTGATCTGTCTGTTCTGTTTGGATGTGGTCTCGGCGTGGATAGGCGCGGCGGTGCGGCACTGCGGCTGCTGCCCGGCCGGCGGCGGCCGCCCCGCTGCCGATGGGCTGTCAGGAGTGGCAGCAGAGCCTGTCCGCCGGCTACCCCGGGACGTACCCGCCGCCGGGCTGGTGGTCCACCGGGCCGGAGCAGCCGCCGGCCGAGCCCCGGGCCTGGCCAGCGGCATCCTACTCTCCACTCTCCTCCCCGCCGCAGCTGCAGCTTCAGCAACAGCAGCAGCTGCAATATCTGCTGCAGCTGCATCAACAGCAGCAGTACCTTCAGCAGCAGCAGTATTACCTGCAACAGCCGCTGCCGCCGCCTCCGTTCGGCCCACGGTTTCCGCCGCTTCCCCAACTCCCGCCGCTGCCACCGCTGCCCGATCTGCCTCCTGCTCTGCCCGAGCCGGAGCTTCAACTCCAGCCCCAACTCCAGCCGGAGCTGCAACTCCAGTCTCAACTGCAGCCGGAGCCCCAGTACCCGGCTCAGGTCCATCCTGCCGAGCCCGGCGACCTGGAGACGTCGGCAGACACCGGGCCGAGCACTCCGTCGACCCTGCCGGTACCTGTGATCCCGCTCAGTAGACCGCAGACAGGCCAGCCTCCCCGCCCCCGTCCGCCTCGAGCCGCCGCCTCGCCTACTGGCTTCTTGTTGTGCTAGAGGTCTTCCTTGTTGTTTCCCTGTTTACACTTCTTGCTATGCCGTCTTTGGCGGAGCTATGCCTATCTCATACCTGGCGGAACTTTTTTCGCTGCTCTGAGCCTCTGACCTAAGGAACCTGCCGTTTGCTTATCCTTGTTCGCCTGCTTCTGGCCATATAAGTGTCCTAAATCTTTGGCGCCTTTCCCCCAGCTTCATGCAGCTTTCTTGCTTAGTTCATCAAGCATATACTTTCAGCTTTTTCTTTTCTTTATTGTTTTTGCTCATTTTTCTCGTTACCTATGTCCATTTTTCTACATTCAGGTTCAGTCACGAGAGAAGGTGACAGGAGCCTAAATTCCGCCCCTCTCCACGTCACCAATACGAGATCTGGGTGACACATGCCATGGACAGTGTGCAGTGTGCACCCGTCACGTACACCCTCTGGGACCTTGTATTTCCTCGTCTATCCACTCCCTGAGCACCCTCGGAGCCCTGCCAGCGGCGGCACCGCGTCCCCCAGTGGCGGAGTCGGAATGATGTGGTCGGGGCGGCCAACCTCTGCTGATTTCGCTGGATTCTCCTCCGCGCAGCGAGTGTAGGGCCTGGAGGACACGCGGCGCGTCCATGACCCTTCGAGGGCAGCTACAAACCAGGCCATTCATTATCCGCGCGATATGAAGTTCCGCCCAATACCCTTGAACCTCATTCAATGCCATTATTCTCGCCAATGACCAAAAAATGTAACCCAAGTGCGTCCTTGGGCAAGAACATCTAACGCTTTTCACGTTAGACCAATTCCTCTCATACCTTCCGTTCCCTTATATTCGAACGGATGCTGAACCAAGCTCCCATTCCCCAGCAATTCTTTCCGTCTCTGTCGCTGCTCGCCACACCCTATCTGTTGTTTCATGTCTCGCATTTTCTCGCGTTTTCACGCTCGTTTTTCGCACAGATGCACCAGCAGCATGCTCGCACGTTTGCGCATGTGTGACCTTTTCAGCTCGGCTGGCGGCATGGTGACCCTTACCTCACCCCATCCCACCCCTCCCCGCGCTGACTGGCTGGCTTGATGTGGTGGCATGTGCATGTGGCAATGTTACCCCTGTGGTGGGCAGGTGTGTTGGACTTGTTGGAGAGTGTGGGTGGGGTAAGGTGATACTTAAAAGGATAATGCGGTTAAGGTGGTATGGGAACGTGACAATCGCGAAATGGAATCGTAAGGGTTGGTTCGTATGAAGATTGAGTGCAGGATTTATTGTGCTTGAGAGATATGACAAGCACATTATATTACGATAGTTATCGAGGGGGATGTTGCTCTGATTTTGGTATGTGTTACTCCGTGGCGGGTTTGGGTTCTAGTTGGAAGTGATCAGGGTCGGACGGGTCACAGACATAGGCGGCGGAACGGGGAGGGCACCGGGGCACCGTGCCCCCCTTTGATTTTGGCATTTTAACATTAGCTTGTGGGCGTTGCATGGAAAGAATGGGACCTAAAGTCTGCAGTGCCCCCCCCCCCCTTACCTAATTGAAGGTGTTCCGCCGCTACTGGTCAGAGAGGTCGTGTGCGACTGTCGATCCGAGTTTGCTACTGTCGGTGACCAGCGGGACTCCCTAATTGGATCAGAACAGCATGGGTCCAGGTCAGCCGGCCGATTCAGCGCGGCGTCCAACAACGGGAGCGAGAGGCTGAGGGGCGGGGGGGGGGGGGTCAAACCGAACTTCCAACACCAGTCTGTAATGGGTGGCAGGAAATAGAACTGGACGCGGCCGCTCGGACCCGCTGAAATTTGTATACGATCTCGGACTGAAGCGGCCCACTGACTTCGCTCGGTTACCGACCAACTTTGGCAAATTTACGTCTCAACTTGGCCGACGATTGAAACCAAGTGTGCAGATGTTCCAAAGTTCTCGGTCGTAAATGGCGATGGATTCTGATGTTGAGACGGCTGACTGGGGTGAGGTGGTGGGGGCGGGGTCGGCAGGCGAAATGGGGGCGTGCCGGCGGTTAGCGCCGCCCGCCGGTGATGGGCAGGGGCAACTCCCGGCTGGGGCGCCTCCCGAGTTTGGCAATTCGGATCCATCGATGAGCGACGGTCACGTTTCGCGCATTGTTTTACCGAGACTGCGCTGTTGGCGGAACAAAGCTGAGCTTACCGCTCGACGGTCAAAATAACACCAACTCGTCGCAAACTTCCGCACTAACTTGGCGCATTGTTTAACCAAGAATAACTCGGGGCTGGCGTTTCTTCATAAACAGCACTGCCAAACTTTGAACCGGAGTACGTCCTGTCTGGATTTTTTCTCCGCTCGTTCGGCAACTTCTTTCGCGAAGTTTCCCCGAAAGTTCGTCGCTGAGTTGTGTCGGCCGAGCTTTTGTATCCGAGCTTTTGCTGTGGATTCCACTATCCCGAGGCGAGAAGTGATGGATCTCACCTGGCAAAGTCTGGATATGGATGGATCTCCGAGACTGGTTCAGAGGGAACCGCTGGTTCTGGTTTCCGCCGCTGCCGTAACGTTTTCTGAGGTCTCTGACGGTCGAGTTCCTAAGTCACCAGTCAGTGAAGAGACAGGTTCGCCGCGAGCAGAATTGAAAAATATCGGGGAAGAGGTTTCGATAGTCGAGGTGCTGGGTGTTTTGGACAAAGCGGAATCTGGGCAAATAAGGGGGGGGGGGGGGAGAAATTGAAGTGTTTGAAGGTCACGGATAATGTGTGTTGCTGGAGAGGGACCACCTGCCATTGCGGGGTGTTCGGTGGATGGTTCGGACTGCGGAGTCATCTGAATTCACCGGGACCCGGTCTGCGCCCATCACCGCCGTCACTCTGTCTCTGCCGCTGGGTGTCGGCGGCACTCTGTACCTCACGGGCCCCGACCTAAGCCTGTAGCTGTCTGTGTACCCCTAGGTTCCAGAGCGGCTCTGAGGGGGGTCGCCGCGGCCGCCCGAGCAACGCTGCAGCGAGCCACAGTACCTGAGTCAAGGTACTTGGTACTGGTAGTCGCGGGACGCGCGCTACAGACGCCCGGCCGACGCCGCGGCCTGCTTGCTTTTACAATGGGACGCGGGGCCGGGTTTTAATATGGTAGTTAGTGGGGATTGGGGAGGTTGAAGTGCAGCAGGATGGGTCCAAGTAAAATGGACTCTGCTGCAGTTAGTGAAGTTTCTATTTCTATTTGTAGTTGTATTTGGATTTTGGAGAATCTACTTTTCCTCCCAATCGCGAACTATTTTCTTATGAACTTTCTCACAAAATTTCACAATCATGCGTCTTTTACCAGGCATCTTTGAGTACTCGGCTGGCTCTCATAGCTCATACCAGTCGTTAGATAGTTCAATGTTGAATTGGTACGAGTGAATGCAGCTAGCATTTATCTAGACTGCAGGGTGACTCTGCTTTGCACACGGTGCCCCGGCTAGCCACCTCTAACCACCCTCGCTTGCTCCCTGCTTCTTTGTGGTGGCAGTGTGCCCGGCTGTTACCCTCGCTTACCCGTGCTGCTGCTCTAGTTAGTTCACGATTTAAGTCTTATGTCGTTTTGAAAGCCGCTCTTTCACTAGCTGTTTTTACCGTTTCAAACTTGTATGCTTGGAAATATAATCGTTTTTCTCTCTCCCGCTCTCTCTCGCTCTCTCTCGCTCTCTCTCGCTCTCTCTCGCTCTCTCTCTCTCGCTCTCTCTCTCGCGCTCTCTCTCTCTCTCGCTCTCGCTCTCTCTCGCTCTCGCTCTCGCTCTCGCTCTCTCTCTCGCTCTCTCTCTCTCTCGCTCTCTCTCTCTCTCGTCTCTCTCTCTCTCTCTCTCTCTCTCTCTCTCTCTCTCTCTCTCTCTCTCTCTCTCTCTCTCATTAGCATTGCAGTAAGATTGTCACATTAAGGTGGTTGATTATTTGCCAATGACTGTTTAATAGACTGAATCAAATACCACAAAAACAATGATTATGATACGGTCGTTATCATGTTCGCTCGGTGATCTTTGCGTGTCCATGGCAGTGCCCACCAGTGCCTACCATACGCTGTATGTGAGCACCCCCATGACCCACCCCTGGCTGACCTCTGCGGGCCGTATTGGGGCACCCCCGTGACCCACCCTGGCTGACCTCTGCCGGCCCTATTGGGGCACCCCCGTGACCTAGCCTGGCTGACCTCTGCCGGCAGCCGACCAGCACACAAGAGAGCCATAGCTTAATAAAGCCAGAGTCGTCGGACATCCACTGAGCGCGCCCGCAGTGCCACCTGCCGGCGCTCGGACGAACTACACACCTCCGCCGTCGCCCGATGTGATAGGCGACGTGGTGGGCGCGCCGGGATCCGTCGGAACCACCGGAAACCACGGGGAACCATTGGGAACCAGCGGCGCCGCGGCGGCCGCGACGAATCGCCCCAGCGGCTGGCGCTGACTGGAGCGGGGCGCCGGTGGACTGACAGTGCTGGACATCTCTCCATCGCACCGACCGGCGTGCCGGGGCCGGGCCGAGTGTACGCGTGCGTGTGTGTGTCTGTGTGCGTGTCTGTGTGCGTGAGAGGGCGGCGGGGGCGCGGCCGCCGCGAGTTGCCGAGCTCGGGAAGCTCCTGTACAAACCGCGCGTATTTTTGCTGTGTCTGATGCGTGAGCGAGGAGCGGGCCGCCGCGCGAGCGACTAGGCTCGGCGGCCGCCAGAGAGACGAGACGAGTCGCCACCGGGACGCCCTCAGAGAGCCCAGACGAACCGACGACGGCGGCGGCGGCGGCGGCGGGGGCGGCAGCCGCCGACGATTACCGGGCGCCCCCGACCCGCCGCCGCCGCCCCAGCCCTGTGTATATTACCGTTCATGGTCATTTGGTCATCATGTAGATCTTCCATAAATAAAGGAGACTTAACGTTGATCTGTCTGTTGCGGGCGGCGCAGCCGGCCGGCCGGTTGGACGGCTGGGAATGGTGTCGCCGCCGGTTTGGACTGTGTGCCGTGCCGGCAACGGTCGACATTGTGTAATCTCGCGTCAATGGCCTGGATCGAGGAATAAAGCGCGCAGTGGTCGGATGTTGCACCGTGTGTGTATGTGTGATGATCGGGAGGTAACGTTCCAGTCGTGAGAATCTCAACAGGTTCAAGTATCACAACTCGGCATCGCACAGCACGGGAATAAATCACTGCTACACGTACGCCCTATAATTAATAGACCACAATCACCACCGAGCTTGATCCTGTATTTCAGTTCCACCTCATTTCACCGACAATCATTGCCACAGTTTCGGGCCTATCCGGGCCTGTGATCACAAACCCACCACCCGCGCACCACCCCAGGAGCGGGGCAGCTCACAGCTGGTTTCCGAAGAAGTTGGCCGCCATAGCGAGCACCGGGGAGCCCGAGGGGACGCCCGGGAAGGGTCCCGAGGCGGCCGCAATGTCCAGGTGGGAGTACTTGAGCGGCTTCTCTGAGTCGATACCGTGCTGCGGAGAGAGTAGAGGGTGAGAGGGGTAGATACGGGCTCACGTGCTGACACGTGCAATGGAAGTGGGGCGAGAGCGCTGTGGGGAAGGTCAATGGACAACTGCGTCATAAGGCGATGCGGAAGCGATATTTTTAGTCTTCGATGCTCGGGCGGCAGAAAATGCTAAACATTGAGCTAGAATATACATTCTTGGACGATACCGCGAAAACGAAATATTTCTATCGAGAGTTTTCAAAGGATTTCATGCACGAGGCCTTGGCCGAGTGCATGAAATTCTTTGAAAACTCGAGATAGAAATATTTCGTCGCGGTAGAGTCCTAGATATTATTTCCTGTATGTTTCTTTATATCGTTCGTTATTTGCTTAAAAAGGCCGAAATATGCATAAATAAAATACAGTAACATTAAAGGAAACAGTCCACTTTCCTGAAATCAGTATTTTGCTATTGATTTATGATTTTTTATGCTCAAAATAATCATGAAATAAAATAAAACCTTTTTGTAAAAACAATTATTTTCTTTATTTTAATATAGGGCGAACTATATTCTATGTAAAATAATGTTTGACGCGGAAGCTTATTACGCATTGACCAATCATATTGCGTAGCTCAAACCTACGAATACTGCATTGGCTGTAAGCAGCACGCTGATTGGCTGACGATGACGTGGCTGCATTCCTGTGCAAGGCACGCATTCCTCTACAAGGCACTCTTTTCGGAACGAGAAATGGAATTTCTTCGTCTAGGGTGATCGTTGAGCCGTAAAAGCTCCTGATTTGTGCTAGTCTCAGCTCAAGCTACGAAACTGCTATTCCAGCTCAAAACCCCATGTTAAAAGTGAACTATTTCCTTTAACTACACGTTTAATACTGAAATACTGGCAGTTCTAATTACTTAACAGTTCAGCAAAGCTTACAAATTTTCTTTAAAACAGAAGCCCTTGATGAAATCAAGCTATCCAAGAAAACCATCCAAGAAAACGTCTCGCGCAAAGTTTCTTGGATGGCTGGATTGCATTGCAAGACTGCATCAAACATACAGGAAAAACCGGAAGCAAAGCTTGTGATGACGTTCTCCAGCTTTCCTGCCGTACTGTGGATCAATATTGTTATAACTCAGATATCCTAAACAGCATCACATCCCGAAGACGCCGACGGGTTCCTTCGCGTCGCAAATCCTGCCTGGGGCAATCCATTCATTACCCTCTTCTACGACTCCCACCAGTCATTCTGTTTCACACCGTCTCCCTCTCTCCTTCCCTCACAGTCACCCAATCACCCCTTTGGGACCCGTACCGCCCCTCATCACCCCATCACCCCACGCCTCTGACCTTGTCCAGCCCGGAGGCCATGATGAGGAAGGCGGCCGGCCCCTGGTGGCCGCGCGGGGTGCGGGACGATGGCGCGTTGTTACACTGCAGCACGTCCTCGTACTCGGACTTGCCTGGAACGGGAGATAGTGGGGCGGTTATTGGACGCTTACATACACGGGTGGCGTTATCACAAACACAGCCGCCCGTAAAATGTATTCAGTAACGAGTAACGACCTGCGCTGGTGGCGCAGGAGGGCTCTGGGGACCAGTGGCTCAGCGGGCCAGCCGCGTGTGTAACAGGGCTTTGTCGAGGGTGGTCGAAGTGGGCCGTGGTGACCAAACATCCATACTCTTACCCTTGTGGAAGGTGTAGTCCTCCCTGCGGATGGTGTTGATCTCGAAGGGGTCGCCCATCAGGTCGCCGGCCTCTGAGAAGCGCGCCGAGCAGTGCGCCTGGCGCGCCGGTCCATTGTCCAGCACTGACGCGTAGCCGTCACCGCAGGCCAGGCAGGCGTGTCCGGTGAGCGTGGCCACCGTCATCAGGTAGGGGTTCACCTCACCGGCGGCGCGCTCCTTCATCTGGGGGGAGGGGAGAGGGAGGGGTCAGAGTGAGGGCGGAGGGAAGGGGTCACACTTACACACAACACGTAGTACACTACGCTCATAGGAGTTTGTGGTTGGTAGTTGGGGATGTTCGTGAGTTTGTAAACATAGCAGTTCGCGGTGGGGACTTGGAAAGTGAATGGAGGAAAACTGAATGGAGGGTGCGAATGAATGGTGTGGCCACGAGTCCACGGCAGATCGATAGCACTGTTGGGGCTGCCACGAGCCAGGGGCTCGCTTATTGCAGGCCATTAACAGCGTGACTTATTCATTCTAGGACACACCCAAGTGATCCATTCACTACTGCCGGAATGCTACTGCGGTCCGTAGTGGTGCTCCATTGCGACATCGGATCTATATTTCTATTATAATACTGACGTCCAGGCTCCAGCGTTCCCACCGACGTTATTCGAACCTGCTGATGTTCATATCACTGCTGATGTTACAGTTACTGACGAGTGACGTTACGCTGCACCACTCACCAGACACAGCAGGTCGGCCATCACCATCCGTCCCTCGGCGTCAGTGTTTCCCACCCTGCCAAACGACGAGAAACGGCGTTAGCGCAACAAACACACAAACATACGAACCGAATAGGATAAATACAATGCTGTTCACTGAACAGCATTGTATTGATCTTTTCAATCAATGCGCATGCTAATCAATATCTTTTACCTTCTTGATATCCCGGAAATATGTAAGAATATCATATCTACGTCGCCTTCCCCATCAACCACTGACCTACCCTACCCTTACCAAGGACGGCGACCCCTACCCTTCCAGCCTGAACCCGCAACTACGGACACCTTGGCCGATGAGTGCTACGCCTGACTAAACCACACCGATCACTGTCTTATGAGTAGGTAACACTGTTAATCCCAGTCACTGATCCCTGTCCTATCCCAGCTTAACCCAGCCAAAACTCCTAGCCTACTTCAGCTCCATTCCCTGAATCCAGCCCTAATCCCAGGTCCTAACCAGTGACCGCAGCCCTAAACCTGATTCCAGCCCTAGCCCCCCCCCCCCCCCCACCCCTGGCCCCATCCCTAACTCCAGTGACCCCCTGACTGACCTGATGCGGACGCCGGCGCGCGATGTGATGATTTCGTCAGCCACGTATCCGTCGGCGCCCACCGAGTTACGCACCATACACATCACACCGACCACCTTAATGCCCTTGGGGCGCAGCTCGGCCAGAGTCTGACGAATATAGAGGGGCACAGGGGTCACAAGGGGTCAGCTCGGCCAGAGTCTGACGGACGCAGAGGGAGGGACACAGGGGTCAACGTAGGGTCAGACGGGGTCAGCTCGGACAGAGTCTGATGGACGCAGAGGCAGGGACACAGGGGTCAACATAGGGTCAGACGGGGTCACAAAGGGTCAGCTCGGCCAGAGTCTGACGGATATAGAGGGACACAGGGGTCACACGGGGTCACACACAGTAATACGGGGCGGGGCTCGGCCAGAGTGTGACGGACACAGGAGGTGGAGGGGGTCAACAAAGGGGTCACACGGGGTCACAAGGGGTCAGCTCGGCCAGAGTCTGACAGACGCAGGGGGTGGACGGGGTCACATGAGGGTGGACGGGGTCACCCGGTATCACACCAAGGGAGTGATACCGGGTCACACGGGGTCAGGCGGTGGAGAAACTGGTCTCAATGTCGATGGTGTAGTCGAGAGAGGTAGGCGCAAAGTAAAACTGTGATTGGGCGAGTAAGGAATGCGCATAAAAAGCTACACAACTATGATTCGTAACATAATTAGACAATTGGGTAAGCAGTAAGCACGAGTGTCATTTCAGTGATTCGAGGACCCAAAGAGGTTAACAAGATGTGGAATTGAAACGATTTATCATTAACTTCATTCGTGATGTCCATTTCGGTATGATTTACACCAGCCGTTGTGGCTCGTCGCGATGCTGGCCGTACCAATTCCGCAATGGAAGCTCCTATCAATTTCCGCAATGGTAGCTCCCATCAATGAGCCATTGATTACGGAGCGAGCGAAGCGAGCGTAGTCTTTCCTTAGATTAACGGAAATTTCTGAGTATGAGCGGCCGGCCGGCCGGCCGGCCGTGCGGACGCTTTTGCGAGGCTTATATCTCAGCAACCACTTGACCGATTTACATGCGGTAAATTTTGTAGGGTAGCTTCATTCCTTCTACCAAGTATTGGACTATTCCCGATGCATGTGGGTGACCCCTTATGCACGTGCCACGTGCAAAACGAAGAGGTGTCAGTTTTGTAATTGTTGCAATATCTCGGTAACTACTTGGCCGATTGCGCTGAAAGTTGGCATGTAGGTAGGCAACCACTAGGCCCTGCATATCCATGTGCCAGAGTTGGGGTGCTGCTGCACGTGCGCACGTGCAGGGGTCGTTTCCAGATCTCGAGAACGGCTCGACCGATTGCGCTCAAATTTGGTACACGGTTAGGGACCAGTTAGTAGGGTGCCGTGCACAAGTCAGTTGGGACCCATTTTGCACGTGCGCACGTGCAGGGTGCCGCTTCCAGATCTCGAGAACGGCTGGGCCGATTGTGCTCAAATTTGGCACATCGCTAGAGACCGGTTAGTAGGGTGCCGTGCACAAGTCAGTTGGAGGTACCCCCTCGCAATTTCGCACGTGCAAGGCCCACCCTCTCGCTCGCTCCGTTAGTCGCCCCATAAGGCGTTATACTGGTTATCAATAGCAGAGGACAGCGCGGTCCACTTCAACGCGATTGAGCAACGGTCAATGGGCGGCTCCCAACGGCCCCTCCGACAGTGGGTCAACCTATAAAGGAGCGGTTAAATATACTTCAATAGCACTCGATTTGATGGCTATCTGAGTCATGCGCACTTGATATGATGGCCACGTGAATAAGATAGTCTTAAGACTTTGGACGAGAGTCGTTTCCGTAAATGTCATTGCCACATAAACCCTCAGCGAATGGTAGCGATAATATTCGAGCTCAACCGTTCTAAACCACGGGCGGTAGCGTTTGTGAAACTTGTGCTGCAATAAGTTTCCCTTACAGCGCTAGAGTTAATACGGTTTCAAAAAGCTGCTGATAATTATCCGAAAAAACTGACGAGCAATAGACCAAGGGTTTGTCGATTCCAATTCAAAACACTCTGTCCTTGCAACGGAACATGGTGATCTGAAGTTAGACAGTCCAGCAATACACCAAGTGCCATTAGAAATCAAGCATGCGTTGTAGAGGCAATGGAAATAACCGTGTGTGAGCTCTGACCTTGAAGAAGCCTCCGACAGCGGCGGCGCCGCACTTGTCCCTGTGCATGCCGGCCATCACACCGCCGGCCTTGATGTCCAGACCGCCTGCAGGAGCGAGGAGGGTCAGGGCAGGTCAGGTCACGGTAGGTTGAGTGTAAAACAGACAGCAACAGAACACTCCACTTGTCTTAGAGTACCGACGACCGTTAGCCTTGACCTCTCGCCTTTGTTCTTTGACCGGCTTGATCTCACGCCTTTATCATTTGAGCTTGACCATATGTCTGATCTGTGTCATAGCCGTGATGACCTATGGCCTTTACCCCGTCTGACCTATGTCATTTGCCGCTTGACATCATATCTAACCTGTGTCGTAGGTGATGCCCTTTCCGACCAGCATGTAGGTGGCCGTGATGGGTCCCTGACCCTCGTAGGTGAGGTGGATCACGCGGCCACGGTGGCGCGGGATCACTGTAAGACAGAGACACAGAGGTCAGAATGGTGACCTCATCCTGACTCACGACCCCCTGGCCCTCGTACGACAGGTGGATCACGGGGCCACGGTGACGCGGGATCACAGTGAAAATGATGACAGGGTGGTCAGATGACCTGGCACAAGCAGGAATAGACGGGTTACGATTAATATCAACCACGAAGAGCGGTGAAATGAAATAGTTACATCATGGTTGGGACATACACCAAACGACGATATTCACAATAATATTCATAATAATATGGATAACATCGGTGACACACGCGGCTAACGCTCAAGACACACCCCACCTCACTAACCTACCCCACTCAGCCTCTCCCTCTCTCCCTCTCTTCTCCCCTCTCACCGGCGGCGGCTCGGTTGACGGCGGCCAGCAGCGGATACTTGTCCTTGAAGGGCGTGGCGCTGCTGTCCTCCTCCTCGACCTCGACCTTGACCTGGGAGCCCTTCAGCACGCGCTGCATGTATTCGGCCACGCGCGGCGCCGCCATACGCTCCGGGTCACTGCCGCCGATGTCGCGCGCCACGAACCTGTGCACCGGGGGACGAGATGTCAGTGGTAATTGGTATGGATGGGGAGACAGGGGCGATGATATTACATTGCTTTCCATTGGTTACCACTATTGACAGGTCCTGACAGGAAAACATCAAAGATATAGGAGTGTCGTACCATTTAGGACATCAACTGCATCAACTTATATGTCGCACCTGAAAAAGGGACAATAAATAGACACATTTCGAGGGAAATCATATCCAGTCCTATATTTTAGGCCCCGCTCCCCCACAACAGTCCCGACATTGCCGACACTATTTCACTAGACACTCCTTCCCTCGTGCCGTCCACTTCCTTCCATCCACCTCCTCTCCCTGTATCTCCTACCTGCCGCTCTCGAGTCCGAGCGCCGTCTGGATGAGTCGCTCCAGAGCGCCCTGCTGCTCGCCGAACACCAGCAGGTGGTCGGCCTTCAGCAGACGCTTCGAGTCGGACGTCTTGACGGCGTGCTCACGGACCTCCAGCGGCTGAGGGCGGCACGGAGTGAGGTCAGATGGGGGTCGGAGCGACTTATCCAGGGACTGAGTTCCAGCAATAGGGAACGGGTGGGGAAGGGATAAACTGAAACAAACACTGATCCTACGAGAGGCCAGGATAAGCGTGAGGATGACTCTCGGGTGTACAGACAGGAGAGCTGACGAGCCGGTCAGGAACGGTCAGATGAGAAAGGCTCGAATTCAATCGAGAGTAAGCAAGTCAACGAAGGCTATAGACTTACTAGGTTTGTAGAGAACGTGCGACGAGTTTCGTAAGGCGAAGAAGCCTGAATGTAGCAATTGATAAAACACGACAGTTGAATTATCAGACGCACCGCCCAGAGCCCTCACTGCTCGTCGCGCCGCTCTCGTCGGCACCCCAGCTCACCACATAGAGGGCGTGCAGGGCGCCCAGGATGGAGCTGAGGGTCGAGTGCTGGTACTTGGGGTAGGGCACGGTGACCAGAAGGGGGCTGCGGCTCCCGGCCGACAGCGCCCTGGGAACGACACACAGACACACCGGTGTTAAAGGTCACAAAAACAAACAGCCAGGTACAGTCAAGGCCACAAACACACTGTCGTGCGATCATTAGCTTGTTACTATTAGAGCGATTGAAGCAAAGGTAACGAAACCGATAAACAGTCCAAGGCGGTTGAAACCAACGGGAGATAAGCTTAATGTCTGTCACACAACAGCTAAAATATCAGTAATGTACCGCGACACTACAGGAAATGAAAAATAAAATAAATGAAAACTCAAACCTCCTAGGTCACAACGTAAACGAACGTTTAGCATCAGTGTCTCATGGACCTCAATATTACTTTCAAAGTCCATCCCCATCTCTTTCAAAGCGGCATACCGCTCGCCATCCACTCTAGTCTCCACTCACCTCTGGATTCCCTTCTCGGCCGCCTCAGCGAACCGGCGCACATCGTCATAGTCCCTGTTGAGGGGTCCGGTGGGCGCGAACACCAGCCTCTTGGCCGGCAGCTGGACGGGCACCACGGCGCCCTCCGACTCCAGGGCGACGTTCACCGACCGCAGCGCCTCCAGCGGCGACTTCAGCGTGGCCAGGTGGCCGGGCAGCTTGGCCACAGAGTCGGTGACGAGCACGATGGCGTCGGCGTCGCCGGAGGAGAGGTCAGTGACCGCCTTCACGCGGCACGGCACGCTGGGGGGGGGGGAGGGGTCAGCGTGGGTCGAGTGGGGGTCCGAGAGTGGCTTAGGGGCAACAAATAAGCTCAGCAGAAACAACTCGAGGTCATTTACCAGTCAAACAATAGTTTGAAAGCAGTTATGAGTCATTGCAGCCCAGATGCGTTTGAGAAGAACTGAACTACGATAATACATGCAACTGTCAGCACTAACACTATAATAAAAAGGTTGGACCCGCGTCCTCATTGAGTTTAAGTTCAAACATTCGACAACAAAATAGATAATGACAGATATGATTAATTATTCATGTGAAGATGTCCCCAAGGTCCTCCGAAAATAAACTGGTCTCGACAGCATCGTTGCGCAAACGGTAATCCGTAAAGCGAACAGTCCGGTCCGAGCACAGTAAACTGGTTTTAGAAACCAGTTTCACATCCCAACAGCAGCAGATGATACTGCAGCATCTTTTCAGCCGTTTGAGTCGCCCTGACTGACTGAGATGGATGATTGTTATTTTGTGACAATGCTTATTTGTAATCTGACTACGTGCATACCGTTCATCGACCCTCAGAGTTTATTGTGTTTATCATAACAGAAGATCACAGGTAGTCGATGGACTGTGTGTACAGCGGGACTCTACACACAATGCATGCCCCAAAACGAGGACGGTTCCTCTGACGGTGCCTTACCAGCCCCAGTCCGGGATATGGTCCCCGGAAGCCATCTTCGTTAGGTGAGACGAAACCGATCAGAAATCTGAAACGGAACACAACAGGTCAGAGTTATGTACAGTCCACATCAGAAGTAATGTGCGGTTTCAGTCATGGGTATGTTTTGCTTCTGAAGCTTAGGAACGATTAGCCAGACAACAATGAAACTTTGAATGTAGCTTACATGTATCGTCACCCTTGCAGCTGCAACTTTATCTATTGGCGTCTTCTTTTCAGTAATTCCGCTTTAAGAAATCGCCAGTCAAAGCCATCCGTTCAGATTGGTAAAACCACACATTACTTTAGCGGTGGACTGTACGTCCCAACATTTTGGCCAGGATCAGCCAACTGTATCTACTCGTCAACCATGTTTTGAGTGATAAGCAGTATAACGGAACGATAAACGTATAACCCCTTGTGAGAATCGACAGAGGCGGCTCACTCAGGTCGTAATGTCTGTTGTGGTACAGGGCACACCGTTATACATATGAAACGAGATCGATATAGGTAGGCATTGGTCGATAAATTAATACATCGACTAATCACCAGCTACATCCAACACCACATACGACTCCTACTGGCCTCATAACGCTTACTACCACTTAGTGTATGCGTTTACAATGACGAATGTTTCATTTACGGACCCGGTTAAATGTAGGGACACGTTTTCCGACCCTCATCCATGCATCGACACTATCAAAACGCCACTCGAACCGTGCCCAAGCAAGATCCACGGACGAGCCGTCAACAGAAAACAGCCTTCCGTTTTGCTTTATGTGACTTCAACTGCCTGCGGTCACTGGAGTCGCGAGGTCATCGACGGGTCGTCGCCTCGTGCGCCCGTCATTCCACAAGGGTGTCAGGGGTCTGTTTGTGGCTTGTTTTGTAGGTTGTCCTGCGGACTCGCGCCCATTTTGGATGCTTTGTCAGCTGAGGGGGCGAATGAGCCAGTGAACGTACAGGATGGATGGATTCGTCGTACTTGAGCTGGGGGAGCGGCCTCAGAAACGTGGTGTTACCAAGAGAACAGGAAGGAGATCATCTCGCCAAGTGAAGCTCCCTACTGTTGGAGGTGTTCCTACTACAGACGAGAGTGGCGTGAGCCCCGGGGTCGCCGGATGGGCCTTATCAGCGTCCTTTGGCCGTCGGACATGCCATGAGAAGGTTAAACAAACGGGGAGTTTCGTTTGTGATGAAAGAGCGATATGACCCGCGATCAAATAAACAGCGACGTATCGATACGCTTGGAAACAACGCTACACATCGCACCAATGAAACCGATAGGGTCGTTTCGAGTTCCCAGTACACCCACCCAACACTCACCGTTACATAGAAACCAGGGATATGTTTCGAGAGCGCAGACCAAACAAACCTTCCATGGCAATTAGCAATGACTGTTACGAAACTTTGTCCCTGGCAGCAACCCTTTCGTCGTTTTGATGGAAGCCGTCCTTTAGGACTGCCTTAGTATTTTAACAGCAAGCGCCGCTGTGCTGTCGACACTCGACACGGTTGCAGCCGTGCCACTCTTGTCCTATACACCCGCCAGGACCGCTTCCGGCGTTTGGTCACCACAGAGAGCAGCGCCTCTCAGAAAAGCGATCCGCAGAATCGGCCGACTCTGCCGGAGGCCTGGTGGACTGCTGGAAGACGTTGTCATTTCGAAGCGGTATAATTGTACGGTAGACTGCAGAGCGAACTGGAGAAGGCAATTTGTGTGCTTAAAGTCCTTATTGATCTCTGCCTAATTACAGGGTAGGTGAAACGCCGACAGGTAGGCATCCGCTAAAAAAAAAAAAATCTACAAAATATAAGAAGTAAAACCTTTTATGCAATAGCAAGGGGATGCGGTGTTGGCCTCAAGAAGCGTATGTTTGCTTCAGATCAATTGCAGAGATCCTCTCGAGCTATATGTGGCCCGAAGTACGATTCCATTCTATTGGCTAAAGTAAGGACGTAGGTATCTGATAAGGCGATAGTGATGAGCTATTGAGACCAGCCGTCTCGGCGGCTGATAGCGTCATGTGAGCCAGGCGACCGGGCGCCGAGTACCCACCTCACCTGAGTACGGCACTCGGCAGCAATCTATCGGACGTACTCGAGTCAGATAACGGTACGAGTGGAAAGCCAGGGATCTTGACGATGCGTTCTGTACAGGCTAGGAGTATGAACCCTCGCAGAACGAAGCCGTAAAAACACACTTACAGGGAAGACCGAATTATTGAGCACCTACACGAGCGTGGGGACAGGGGGAAGGTCTAGACTTGAGGCCCACCAATAGATCATGTCAACTGTGCCAGGATGGCAACAGAGAACCGTCCGCCCGTCGCGTCCACCGCCCGGGAAGCTGCTTGTCATGGGTAAGCAATAACAAATTTCGACACCCGCGAGCAAAGAATTTACAACCCTCCACTTACCCACCCGGCTCGTGAGTCGCATTACCCTGCTCCCATCCCGTGAGGCCCAGCCATACCCCGCTCGCGGCGCATGGGGCGCGGGGGCACTGACCTGTAACGAAGGCCGCGCCGACTACGACGTCCCTTCTCGGCGGCTCGGGCGGAACAGCGGACCGGCCGGTTGACTCCCACTGCCACACGGCCGACACCTAGCGACCGGACGGCGAACTACAGCGGTCCCGTGCGCTCAGCAGATAGCAGAGGTCGAATGAACCCGCAAGTGCCTGGTGGGGAAGTGGTGGCCTGATAATTCCCGGAGCCGGAGGCGACGTGGAAAGATACGGACGCGCAGACATCGCAAAACGAGCGCTGCCTTTTAAAAATCAATACGAAGTAGGTTTTCGTTTTAGCGAATCCAGATAGTTTGGCGACATAGGCATCAGAAAACGACTCGACAGAACCATACGCAAAATCGAATAAGTACCTACAGGACATGCACCTGAATCATGTTATCCAGCCCCTTTGAACCAATCGACGCTAGCCTTCCGTGACCCATCGACAAAAAAACCTAGACTGCACTGGACCATCCAGAATCAATATTGAGAACGTGAAGTCGCCTTCGAAAACTGGACAGAAAAAACGGATATTTAAGGAAGGCAACGTTTATTTATCCAAAGCACATATGCTGATACACACGAGATACAAGCACAGCCATCCTCGGGCCGTACATGGGACACACGATAAAATGCAATAAAATACAGTATGACACTGACCCTAGAATACGGAGTGGCACACCGATATACCTCAATATGATACAACGCTCGTGCCCTTTTACAAAGTCATACGATATGTGAGCTCGACTGGCAAGGTTTGGACAAGAGACGACTGACACGTGCAATAAGCAAATATTCAAATTTAGTGAACGAGGGACTATGACTACTTGCGATATGATGACTATGAGCCTTGGCCACAAGCTAATGTTTCTACATATTCCAGCTCGCAACGTTACAGCACGACTGAAAGACGTTATAAAAAGGCTACAATATTTCCATAAGGATACGAACCCAGCGGTGATTCCTGATGAAGCCCAACGGGCCCATCCATTTGAAAGGCGAAAACATACAGATTAAATGCCGAGGCATGCAATGCTCGAATATGGTAGGAACTTGCACCTCTGCCTATAATACGGGTACAATACGGCGAACAGATTTGAAGGTACGAAGAAAAGAATGGTAACTGAATACAAATGAGCGTCATGATTACTGACAATGTGTTTCCTGTGATCGTAACGAAAGCAGATGAACGCCAAATCCAAGGGCAAGACCCACATGGCCTCAGACCAATCAGATGACACAAAGGCACCGGATTATCCTTCAGCAGTTTTTTCAATCCGCGGAGGGGCGGCAGCTGACCACTTGGCCAGCCACTCCATTCTACTCCAATATACTGGCCATTGCAGGTGACAGGATACAGGGCCGTTCATAGGGCGTCCCCTTCAGAGGGCTCTCTCAGTGCCGGTCACCGACTCACATCACCGTACAGGAGCTCCTCGGGGCGGCGTCGGCCGGCAGGGCGGGCGGGCGGATCTCCTCAGCGTGCACCTCCTGCACCAGTCTCGGGAACCTCTCGCCGGGCCCGGGCGGCCGGAGTCGCTCCCCGGGCCGCAGCGGACGGTGGAACGGCACCTCCGCCACCCGGCCCGGCTCGGGCTGCTGGCCGCGCGCGGCGCCGCGCCCCGCCGCCGCCTCCTGGGCGCAGCGCTCTGCCTGGCGGCGGCCCAGCGCCAGGTAGAACGCCGCCACCAGGACGGCGGCGACGGCGGCGGGCGCGTGCGCGGTCCAGCCGCTCTCGCCGGTCACCTCTGCGGGCGGCCGGCAGCCGGCGCAGCGCCACATCCGACTGGTCACGTTCACCATGTCCTCGACATCGGCGCAGATGGCGCCGGCCGGGTGCATCCTCCGTCCCGAGACGGCCTCCAGCTGGTCGGCCTGCGCGCGCAGCAGGTCAGCACACTCCCGACACACGGCCGGCGAGCCGTCCGCCGCCGTCCGGTTGCCGTTCCGCTCGACACACGCGCGGAACGCGTCGTGACGGCGCGTCAGCTCAGAGATATCCGCGTTGATCTTGTAGCCGCCGAAGCCGAGTTTGGTGACGCAGCGGTCGCAGCGGTTCTGCGCCACCACCGACTGGTAGTAGCGCATGTGGTACATGATGATGTGCACGTCGTCATGGTCGAGCAGCTGCAGGCGGCAGTGGGCGTCATCCGGTCCCGTGCCGGACAGGATGTGCTGGTACGCCCGCTCCAGCGGGTAGCGGTTCTGCGCGCAGCGGATACACACCGCCAGAGGGCGGGACGCCTTCACCGTGCAGGCCATGAAGTCGGCGAAGGCGTCGGCAAAGTTGGCCAGCAGCAGGCGGCACGGCTCGGAGATGTTGCCGCGCCGTTTGTACTCCAGTGACAGGTTGACTCTCTGCGCTCGCTGCAGGTGCGTCTCGCGGCCGTCGTCGATCTCCGGCCGGGGCCAGGTGAACAGTGCGACCAGGAGCAGCAGGGCGCCCCCGTACACGGCGTAGGCCACCAGCTGCATAACGCTCTGGTAGAGGCCGAACCAGTCGAACCCGGCCGGGCCGCCGGTGGGCTGGGGCGCGGCGGGCCGGTGCCAGCCCGGCGCCGGGCTCGGCGAGCGGAACATGGTCGGCCAGTGAGCCTTTCCGGGGAACTAGCGCGCCAACGGCAGTGGTGACAAAAGAGTGCCACTGATTGTGTTCTTAGTTTTCAGAGATCTGCAAGAGGAGGGCAGTGTGTATGAGAACTGTGGAGGCGACACTCTTTTCTCAAGAGCTGCTGTAAAATGGCTTCACAAACTCCAAACAGCAAATACATTATGCAATCATTGTTAAGTGTGGAATGTGTATAATTAAACAGCAAATATCAGCCACCAAGTGTAAGTCAAATACAATTCAAGCAAAGTGATAATAAAGCTGAAAATGATGTACACACCGCCTAGGTCTTTTGATATGCTGGAGGCTTCAAATTGCTGTCTTCCTTGTAAGCACCTCAGCTACCAGGCATCACTCCTTTATCATTGGTCAATGGTCCATGAAACTTGCATCAAACACCCTGCAGAAGCCATAACCACCAGCCCAGCCATAATGTGATAAATTTAGTGACAAAACTGGTCTATCTATAGTGATCTAGCACTACAAAATCTTCTTATCAATACCACACATTTTTAGGTAGGTACCTACCTAATTTATCATTCCAAATTTTACACCCAAGTAACACAAATATGCAACTGCTGCACCAGTTTATATGACAAGTGATTCCTGCGGAGTGCAGACCCTGCAGTCAAATCGCTCGCTTTGACTGCAGGAGATGCAGTGAACCACAGCAGTTTGATGTCACACCACCCGTCCCATTTCCACTTTCAGTGAAGTAATTGCCCGGCAGCAGCTGAATCGCAGGTGCCCCTGAACAGCACTCTAACTTGCCACTCTGATTGCATAAGTCTATAGAAAGCTTAAAAATACAAGCAATTTAAAAAAGCAATGGTTGAGCTTTGCCTCGACTAGGAGCAAAATGTAGATATCTACCACAAAGCCGTGACAGAAAGTTCCAAATCGAGTTCCTTTCAAAGGTATTACGGGTATCGGTAACCCTGGCGGGGTGAGACTAAATGCTTACTTCGAAATCTAAGCTGTGTTGCGGCATTGGCGGTTATGTGCGGCGTGTATGCCGCATGATTAGTAAGCGGCGACCACTAAATTAAAGACTTAAACGCTCCAACCTGTTTTCAATGAATAACACTGCATACCAAAAATGCCAATCGTTCTCGTCATAAGATATTTAGATTTAAATAACTAATTTATCTGCATCATCATTTTGAACGAAATTAATGCTTTCAACTTAGTACTCACTCATTCCTTCCTTCGTTGGCTCCAAACAGTACTTCGATTGTCTGGAAATCGTATGCCAAATCCCGCACCTGTATACGACTGGTGCATATAAAGGCCGATGTAAGAATTTCAATAGGCTCTCGCATGCGATTTCCTGGCTACCCAAAAAGTCTGTTTCAGTCATGCTATCAAAACCTGGTATGTCAGCCCTCTCACCAGCTTGTAGTGCCCCTGACCGTCACCGACTCCCTTCCCTCCTTAAAAGCCTAGTTTCCCTCCATCATCTCTACTAGATTTACGTGATGCTCCGACAAATTCACAAACAAGACCGAACTTGTTCGGAGTTCGGACTGTGAGTTAACCCTCTCCCTTTAGGGGGGGGGGGGGGGGGGTCGAACGGACTCCCCTCGGTTTTTCGCAAATAACTCGCGTAAAAAGCGGCCGATCACGACGTAACTTTTAGTACTCTCGCGTTGATCAATTTTACACCTAACCTGAAAATTTCATGACCCTGACGCAAATAACCTATGACCTGTGACCTACTTTTCGAGACCATGTTTGGCCGGAACCGCGATTCAGCGTATGTCGGCTCGCATTAGCAGCGCGTTTGCAGTCTTTTCGTGGTTTCAAGCGTTCAAACATGTGATATGATGTTGCCCCCATGCATTAGGGTGGGTGTCAAGGTCACCTGAAGGTCAGGTCAGGTCATTGACCTTTGGTGACCTCGGTTCACTTTTTCGAGTTTGACATGTTTCTAGGCCAGTTTTTTTTCGAGCTGAATTCGAATTAAGCAACCACATGAACGTTTACAAAGTAGTTTTGGTGCCTTCGTAACATGTTACGAGGCTGTCAGAGGCGGTTGACACCTACTACAAATACCCGGCAGGACCTCTACTGGTTGACCTGACCTGACCTAACCCGACCTGGCCTAAATGAATGAAGACATCATCTGTGATCAAAACTAGCATGATATTCGTGATCAGCACCCCGAAAAACCCCATAGCAGCCACACTACGACGTTCTAACAGGTCCCAATTTTCCCGGCTTTTGGGTCATTGACCTGACCTGGAAGGTCAACCGATGATCTAGGACCTTAAAATTGGGTATCATCGGCTTTCTCTCGTCACGGGCAACACGCTCGTTTTTTCCGCGAAGCTCTAGCTTGATCAGGAGCGAAACGGCAAGGGGTTACACCTTATACGTTCGCGGCTGGAAAAACACCAATACGGGCGAGGGTCAAGTTGAAAGTATTAATTTGGTTCAAAACAATGATGTAGATAAGAGTAGTTATTTAAATCTTAATATCCTATGACGAGAGCGATGGACATTTTTGGTATGCAGTGTTATCCATTGAAAACAGGTCAAAGCTATTGAGTTTTCAATTTAGTGGTCGCCGCCTGCTAATCATGCGGCATACACGCCGCACATAACCGCCAATGCCGCAACGTAGCTTAGATTTCGAAGTAAGCATTTAGTCTCACCCCCCTGGCGTCACCGGTAGCGTTTTCGTTCAAGGTTAAGGTTTCCTGCATTAGGCAGCATTAGGCCACCGTGCCAAGCCGTAGCATGCTGTGACGTCACTGGGTAAGAGAACGTACCACGCTATCAGTATCGACTGAGACTCAGATAGAATCAGAACGACTCAGGCAGACTCAAACTGACTAAGGCAGACTCAAACTGACTCAGACCGACTCAACTGACTCAAATAGATTCCGATCGACTCAGATCGACTCAGAACGACCCAAACTGACTCAGACCGACTCAAATCGATTCCGATCGACTCAGACCGACTCCAGACGACTCAACCGACTCAAATAGATTCCGATCGATTCCGATCGACTCAGACAGACTCAGAACGACTCAGGCAGACTCAAACCGACTCAGGCAGACTCCTCAAACTGACTCGACCGACTCAGAACGACTCAAACTGACTCAGACCGACTCAAACTGACTCAGACCGACTCAACCGACTCAAATCGATTCTGATCGACTCAGACCGACTCAGAACGACTCAGGCGGACTCAAACCGACTCAAATCGATTCCGAGCGACTCAGGCAGACTCAGAATGACTCAGGCAGACTCAGAACGACTCAGGCAGACTCAAACCGACTCAGGCAGACTCAAACTGACTCGACCGACTCAGAACGACTCAAACTGACTCAGACCGACTCAAACTGACTCAGACCGACTCAAACTGACTTAGACCGACTCAACCGACTCAAATCGATTCCGATCGACTCAGAACGACTCAGGCGGACTCAAACCGACTCACATCGATTCCGAGCGACTCAGGCAGACTCAGAATGACTCAGGCAGACTCAAACAGACTCAGAACGACTCAGGCAGACTCAAACCGACTAAAATCGATTCCGATCGACTCAGAAAGACTCAGAACGACTCAGGCAGACTCAAACCGACTGAGGCAGACTCGGGCCGATTCAGATAGACTCAGGCAGACTCAAACCGACTCAGACAGACTCAGACTGATTCAGCTCGATTCCGAGCGACTCAGAACGACTCAGACAGACTCAGGCGGATTCAAACCGACTCAACCGACTCAAATAAAGTCAGTTTGAGTCTGCTTGAGTCGGTTTGAGTTTGCCTGAGTCGTTCTGAGTCTGTCTGCGTCGATCGGAATCGAGTTGAGTCGGTTGAGTCGGTCTGAGTCAGTTTGAGTCGTTCTGAGTCGGTCTGAGTCGATCGCAATCGATTTGAGTCGGTTGAGTCGGTCTGAGTCAGTTTGAGTCGTTCTGAGTCGATCGGAATCGATTTGAGTCGGTTGAGTCGGTCTGAGTCAGTTTGAGTCGTTCTGAGTCGGTCGAGTCAGTTTGAGTCTGCCTGAGTCGGTTTGAGTCTGCCTGAGTCGTTCTGAGTCTGTCTGAGTCGATCGGAATCGATTTGAGTCGGTTGAGTCGGTCTGAGTCAGTTTGAGTCGTTCTGAGTCGGTCTGAGTCGATCGGAATCTATTTGAGTCGGTTGAGTCGTTCCGAGTCGGTCTGAGTCGATCGGAATCGATTTGAGTCGGTTGAGTCGGTCTGAGTCAGTTTGAGTCGTTTTGAGTCGGTCTGAGTCGATCGGAATCGATTTGAGTCGGTTGAGTCGGTCTGAGTCAGTTTGAGTCGTTCTGAGTCGATCGGAATCGATTTGAGTCGGTTGAGTCGGTCTGAGTCAGTTTGAGTCGTTCTGAGTCGGTCGAGTCAGTTTGAGTCTGCCTGAGTCGGTTTGAGTCTGCCTGAGTCGTTCTGAGTCTGTCTGAGTCGATCGGAATCGATTTGAGTCGGTTGAGTCGGTCTGAGTCAGTTTGAGTCGTTCTGAGTCGGTCTGAGTCGATCGGAATCTATTTGAGTCGGTTGAGTCGTTCCGAGTCGGTCTGAGTCGATCGGAGTCGATTTGAGTCGGTTGAGTCGGTCTGAGTCAGTTTGAGTCGTTCTGAGTCGGTCTGAGTCGATCGGAATCTATTTGAGTCGGTTGAGTCGGTCTGAGTTAGTTTGAGTCTGCCTGAGTCGTTGTTCTCTTACCCAGTGACGTCACAGCATGCATCGGCTTGGCACGGTGGCCTAATACTGCCTAATACAGGAAACCTTAAACTTGAACGAAAACGCTACCGGTGACGCCAGGGTTACCAGGGGCGGATCCAGGAAAACTCCAAGGGGAGGGTCATGAATCGAAGTGGTGCCCCTACCTATACCCAAAATTAAAAACTCAACGGATTTCGTCCACTTCATTTTGGTGGTGCCCCCATTTTCAGTTTTTTATTTTTATTTTTTATTTTTAGTCAGTATCTTACCTCTTAGCCACAACCACATTTACCAATTGTAAGCAAGTAGGTATATATGAATGTGCTATGTGTATATGTTGTGGACGCTGAGTAATGAGTACTTACCAGGAACGTTATCAGGTAAGCAAATCGTTGTCAGTCCGACGAACTTGACCCTGGCGTCTAAAGGGTTTGTCCTTGACACTTCAGGCTTGTCAGGGGCACCAAAGTCCTTCCAGGGACACCACAAACCTGTCAGGGGCACCTACGGCCTTGTAGGGGCGCCACAGGCCCGCCAGGGGCACCACAGGCGTGCCAGGAAGCAGGGGCACCACAGGTCTAGCAAGTATACACGACAGGCCTGTCAGGGGCACAACGAGCCTGTTGGGCCCATGAGCACCCCTAGGGGCAGGGGCACCACAGTCCTTCCAGGGGCACCGCAGGCCTGTGAGGGGCACCAGTGGCCTAGCAGGGGCACCAGTCAACACAGGCCTGCCAGGGGCACCACAGACCTGTCAGGGGCACCAGAGGCCTGCCAGGAGCACCACCGACCTCGCAGGGGTAACTTGGGCCTGTCAGGGCCCAGGGGCACCACGGGCCTGTCGAGAGGCACTTCAGGCTTTTCAGGGGCACCATAGTCCTCTCAGGGCGCAGGGGTAGCAGGGGCACCAGAGGCCTGCCAGGGGCACTACAGGCCTAGCAAGGGCACCACTGGTCTATCAGGGGCACCACGAGCCTGTCATAGCCAGGCATCTCAGGCTTGTCAAGGCCCAGGGGCACCACAGGTCTGTGAGGGGCACCAGCGACCTAGCAGGGGCACCAGTCAACACAGGTCTGCCAGGGGCGCCACAGACCTGCCAGGGGCACCACAGACCTGTCAGGGGCACCAGAGGCCTGCCAGGGGCACCACCGGCCTCGCAGGGGCACCTTGGGCCTGTCAGGGGCACGACGGGCCTGCCGAGGGGCACTTCAGACTTTTCAGGGGCACCAGTCCTCTCCGGGCGCAGGGGCACCAGAGGCCTGCCAGGGGCACCAGCGGCCTAGCAAGGGCACCAGAGGCCTGCCAGGGGCACCAGCGGCCTAGCAAGGGCACCAGAGGCCTGCCAGGGGCACCACAGGCCTAACAAGAGCACCACGGGCCTGTCAGGGGCACCTCAGGCTTGTCAGGGCCCAGGGACACCACAGTCCTTCCAAGGGCACCGCAAGCCTGTCAGGGGCACCAGAGGCCTGCCAGGGGCACCACAGGCCTAGCAAGGGCACCTCTGGCCTGTCAGGGGCACCTCAGGCTTGTCAGGGCCCAGGGGCACCACAGTCCTTCCAGGGGCATTACAAGCCTGTCAGGGGCACCAGAGGCCTAGCAAGGGCACCACAGGCCTGCCATGGACACCACAGGCCTGCCAGGGGCACCACCGGCCTTGCAGGGGCGCCTCAGGCCTGTCAGGGGCACCACGTGCCTGCCGGGGACACTTCAGGCTTGTCAGGGGCGTTACAGTCCTGTCAGGGCCCAGGGGCACCAGGCCCGTGGTGTCCCTGCTAGGCCTGTGGTGCCCCTGGCGGTCCTGTGGTGCCCCTGTCAGGACTGTGATACCCCTGATAGGCCGGTGGTGCCCCTGGAAGGTCTTTGGGCCCCCGGGCCTCAAGGGGGGGGCCATGACCCATGTGACCCCCCCCTTGGATCCGCCCCTGAGGGTTACCGATACCGGTATTACGTTTGATAAATCAAAATCATTACAATTAGGCATAGACACGCAAAACAATATTGATATGATTCTGCCTTACCTATTATGCCAGACTGAATATCCTGAAGATGATGAATAATGCTTGCAAGAATGGCTGATGGACCACTTCCAAGATAAAAAAATCACACTGAAATAAATGGTAAGAGGCAACCATACATTTCACAATTCAGAACTTCATGTTCTTAGAGGAGCGTCACTGACGGCACATATTATAAGTACAAATCATACGCGCTTACTTGCTTTCACGAACCAATCAAATGCAAGAACTTCGGCTCGCGCTTTCACGGAGATCGGACGTGTCAAATCGAGCTCTCACTCTCACAGGACCCAATCAGTGCACACATTAGTTAGGTACCCACGGCACAATTTCAACTGTCTCGGCGTATCTTCATGAGCGAAGATGCCAGTCCAGAGGTCACCTCCAATGTCGAAACCACAGCGGACCGCAACTGAAAATGCACTCAATTCGACGATCGCAAATGGATCTACAGCGACGCCATCGACGCCGTCGGCATAGGCGCGGGAGCCGGGGGGGGCAGTGGGGGCAGCTTGCCCCCCCAACTCTGGGGCCGTGGGGGCGGTGCCCCCACAGCTTTGAGACGGAATACCACATTTTTTTGCAAATGTTTTCTTTTTTGTTGAAAAAGCCGATGGGTTAAAAATAAGTGGCCTAAAAACGGTGAGAAAACTAGATTTGGGGGTACCCTAGGTTGATCTCTATTATGGTGTGCCCCCCCAGTCGGAAAGTAGTTCCCGCGCCCCTGGCCGTCGGATGCAAATGTGGAGGCCGGCGGCGGCGAATGTGGAGGCGGCAACGAGGTGAATGATTTTGTTGCCGAAGGAGCTGAAGGAGGTAAGGCAGGGAACTGTGCTATTTCTGAATGTAACGGAAGTTAGCAGGGATTCAGCAGGGGTTCAGCAGGGATTCAGCAGGGATCGACGGCCCCTACGATTTCGCTGAATTTTGGTGGAGAGGTGCAGAATGGTGTCCTCTATCGAAAATCCTAGTGCCAAAATGCGGGGAATCCATCAGGGGGGCCACAAATCCCAAAAAACAGTATGCCCTCAGGGCACAATCGACGAACTTTGAAAACCCTACTTCTAGCCGTCAAAACAGCTAAAAATGCACGTCATTCGAAAGAGGACAAAATTTTACGTACAACGGTACCAAATTTAGGGGGCTAGCGCCCCCCTGAACCGAACAAAACAGCTTCAAATATATGGGCCCGGGAGTATGCCCTCGGGGCATAAATAAACGTTTTCAACAATTTCAGGCCTATAACATCGACGAAATCCAGCAATATGCACATCATTGGAAAGAGCGTAATTTCCCAAACAAAAAACCCAAGTAACATTTTTCGATGGGGCCCACCTGGGGCCCACAGGACCCAATTGAAATTTGGGGCCCAATGGGGCGGCCCCTACGATTTTCTTCAAAATTGGCACAGACACTCTCCTGGGCCCCCTCTTTAATCTGGCTGAAGAAACCTACCGGGGAATCCAAAGGAAGGGGCCCAAAGAGGGCCCCAAAGAGGCCCTTTCTAAGTATTGCCCCTAATTTCGCGACCAACCCCGGCAATATGCACATCATTGGAAAGAGCATAATTTCCCAAACAAAAAACCCAAGCAACATTTTTCGATGGGGCCCACCTGGGGCCTACAGGACCCAATTGAAATTTGGGGCCCAATGGGGCGGCCCCTACGATTTTCTTCAAAATTGGCACAGACACTCTCCTGGGCCCCCTCTTTAATCCGGCTGAAGAAACCTACCGGGGAATCCAAAGGAAGGGGCCCAAAGAGGGCCCCAAAGAGGCCCTTTCTAAGTATTGCCCCTAATTTCTCGACCAACCCCGGCAATATGCACATCATTGGAAAGAGCGTAATTTCCCAAACAAAAAACCCAAGTAACATTTTTCGATGGGGCCCACCTGGGGCCAACAGGACCCAATTGAAATTTGGGGCCCAATGGGGCGGCCCCTACGATTTTCTTCAAAATTTGCACAGACACTCTCCTGGGCCCCCTCTTCAATCTGGCTGAAGAAACCTACCGGGGAATCCAAAGGAAGGGGCCCAAAGAGGGCCCCAAAGAGGCCCTTTCTAAGTATTGCCCCTAATTTCGCGACCAACCCCGGCAATATGCACATCATTGGAAAGAGCGCAATTTCCCAAACAAAAAACCCAAGTAACATTTTTCGATGGGGCCCACCTGGGGCCCACAGGACCCAATTGAAATTTGGGGCCCAATGGGGCGGCCCCTACGATTTTCTTCAAAATTGGCACAGACACTCTCCTGGGCCTCCTCTTTAATCCGGCTGAAGAAACCTACCGGGGAATCCAAAGGAAGGGGCCCAAAGAGGGCCCCAAAGAGGCCCTTTCTAAGTATTGCCCCTAATTTCGCGACCAACCCCGGCAATATGCACATCATTGGAAAGAGCGTAATTTCCCAAACAAAAAACCCAAGTAACATTTTTCGATGGGGCCCACCTGGGGCCCACAGGACCCAATTGAAATTTGGGGCCCAATGGGGCGGCCCCTACGATTTTCTTCAAAATTGGCACGGACACTCTCCTGGGCCCCCTCTTCAATCTGGCTGAAGAAACCTACCGGGAATCCAAAGGAAGGGGCCCAAAGAGGGCCCCAAAGAGGCCCTTTCTAAGAATTGCCTCTAATTTCGCGACCAACCCCGGCAATATGCACATCATTGAAAAGAGCGTAATTTCCCAAACAAAAAACCCAAGTAACATTTTTCGATGGGGCCCACCTGGGGCCCACAGGACCCAATTGAAATTTGGGGCCCAATGGGGCGGCCCCTACGATTTTCTTCAAAATTGGCACAGACACTCTCCTGGGCCCCCTCTTCAATCTGGCTGAAGAAACCTACCGGGGAATCCAAAGGAAGGGGCCCAAAGAGGGCCCCAAAGAGGGGCAATACTTAGAAAGGGCCTCTTTGGGGCCCTCTTTGGGCCCCTTCCTTTGGATTCCCCGGTAGGTTTCTTCAGCCAGATTGAAGGGGGGCCCAGGAGAGTGTCTGTGCCAATTTTGAAGAGAATCGTAGGGGCCGCCCCATTGGGCCCCAAATTTCAATTGGATCCTGTGGGCCCCAGGTGGGCCCCATCGAAAAATGTTACTTGGGTTTTTTGTTTGGGAAATTACGCTCTTTCCAATGGTCTGCATATTGCCGGGGTTGGTCGCGAAATTAGGGGCAATACTTAGAAAGGGCCTCTTTGGGGCCCTCTTTGGGCCCCTTCCTTTGGATTCCCCGGTAGGTTTCTTCAGCCAGATTGAAGAGGGGGCCCAGGAGAGTGTCTGTGCTAATTTTGAAGAAAATCGTAGGGGCCGCCCCATTGGGCCCCAAATTTCAATTGGGTCCTGTGGGCCCCAGGTGGGCCCCATCGAAAAATGTTACTTGGGTTTTTTGTTTGGGAAATTACGCTCTTTCCAATGATGTGCATATTGCCGGGGTTGGTCGCGAAATTAGGGGCAATACTTAGAAAGGGCCTCTTTGGGGCCCTCTTTGGGCCCCTTCCCTTGGATTCCCCGGTAGGTTTCTTCAGCCAGATTAAAGAGGGGGCCCAGGAGAGTGTCTGTGCCAATTTTGAAGAAAATCGTAGGGGCCGCCCCATTGGGCCCCAAATTTCAATTGGGTCCTGTGGGCCCCAGGTGGGCCCCATCGAAAAATGTTACTTGGGTTTTTTGTTTGGAAAATTACGCTCTTTCCAATGATGTGCATATTGCCGTGGTTGGTCGCGAAATTAGGGGCAATACTTAGAAAGGGCCTCTTTGGGGCCCTCTTTGGGCCCCTTCCTTTGGATTCCCCGGTAGGTTTCTTCAGCCAGATTAAAGAGGGGGCCCAGGAGAGTGTCTGTGCCAATTTTGAAGAAAATCGTAGGGGCCGCCCCATTGGGCCCCAAATTTCAATTGGGTCATGTGGGCCCCAGGTGGGCCCCATCGAAAAATGTTACTTGGGTTTTTTGTTTGGGAAATTACGCTCTTTCCAATGATGTGCATATTGCCGGGGTTGGTTGCGAAATTAGGGGCAATACTTAGAAAGGGCCTCTTTGGGGCCCTCTTTGGGCCCCTTCCTTTGGATTCCCCGGTAGGTTTCTTCAGCCAGATTAAAGAGGGGGCCCAGGAGAGTGTCTGTGCCAATTTTGAAGAAAATCGTAGGGGCCGCCCCATTGGGCCCCAAATTTCAATTGGGTCCTGTGGGCCCCAGGTGGGCCCCATCGAAAAATGTTACTTGGGTTTTTTGTTTGGGAAATTACGCTCTTTCCAATGATGTGCATATTGCCGGGGTTGGTCGCGAAATTAGGGGCAATACTTAGAAAGGGCCTCTTTGGGGCCCTCTTTGGGCCCCTTCCTTTGGATTCCCCGGTAGGTTTCTTCAGCCGGATTAAAGAGGGGGCCCAGGAGAGTGTCTGTGCCAATTTTGAAGAAAATCGTAGGGGCCGCCCCATTGGGCCCCAAATTTCAATTGGGTCCTGTGGGCCCCAGGTGGGCCCCATCGAAAAATGTTACTTGGGTTTTTTGTTTGGGAAATTATGCTCTTTCCAATGATGTGCATATTGCCGGGGTTGGTCGCGAAATTAGGGGCAATACTTAGAAAGGGCCTCTTTGGGGCCCTCTTTGGGCCCCTTCCTTTGGATTCCCCGGTAGGTTTCTTCAGCCAGATTAAAGAGGGGGCCAAGGAGAGTGTCTGTGCAAATTTTGAAGAAAATCGTAGGGGCCGCCCCATTGGGCCCCAAATTTCAATTGGGTCCTGTGGGCCCCAGGTGGGCCCCATCGAAAAATGTTACTTGGGTTTTTTGTTTGGGAAATTATGCTCTTTCCAATGATGTGCATATTGCCGGGGTTGGTCGAGAAATTAGGGGCAATACTTAGAAAGGGCCTCTTTGGGGCCCTCTTTGGGCCCCTTCCTTTGGATTCCCCGGTAGGTTTCTTCAGCCAGATTAAAGAGGGGGCCCAGGAGAGTGTCTGTGCCAATTTTGAAGAAAATCGTAGGGGCCGCCCCATTGGGCCCCAAATTTCAATTGGGTCCTGTGGGCCCCAGGTGGGCCCCATCGAAAAATGTTACTTGGGTTTTTTGTTTGGGAAATTACGCTCTTTCCAATGATGTGCATATTGCCGGGGTTGGTCGCGAAATTAGGGGCAATACTTAGAAAGGGCCTCTTTGGGGCCCTCTTTGGGCCCCTTCCTTTGGATTCCCCGGTAGGTTTCTTCAGCCGGATTAAAGAGGGGGCCCAGGAGAGTGTCTGTGCCAATTTTGAAG